GCATGCTCATGTCTCTGTCCCGGAGGAGGCCTCCAAACTCACGCACCAATTGTGACAACACAGGGTGGGCACTGACAATGTGCTTTCCTTGCGCAAGCCTTTCACTGAGCTGAAGATCAGGGTAAATAGTTGATTGTTCAGGAACCTCATTGGCCAACACATACGCCTGAGCAACCAACAGAGCAGTGAACTCGGCAGCAATGTTTGTTGCCGCTTCAGCTCCTACCCACTCTTCTTGCTGGGGGGCCAATTCAACTGGTCCAGCAAGGACGCCCTTAAGCGCAAAGGCACATCGTCCTTCCATGTCTCTGGTTTCACTGACAACAACCACCGCCCAACCAGCTCCCTCCTTGGACGTGGACCCGTCAACAAAACAATGCACAATCGGCATCTGCGTGGATTCGAAGACCCCTTGCCAGGCCAACGCGATTTGGGCATGCTCATGCAAATCCACATTGCTAGGGACCTTATCTAAAGGGGCCTCCCAAGGCTCACAAAGTTTGGCAACCCACCCCAGATCCCCAAAGGCCGAATCGATTTGGAGAACAGGGGGAGTGAGGGCCCGACTCAAACAAAGGGTAGTCCTACTACACTGAGCTTGGGTGCCTGTAAGCGGCATGTATTGCGCACTGGCCTTCCCCGCACAATTGGCGGTGTCCGACGGAACGACCAGGCTATTTACAAAAAGGCGCTTGTGCCTGATCTGTGACTCACCTGAGGGTGCCCCCGAAGTTGCCTCTCTCCCCCATGTCATCATATCGCCACCACTGCCTTCTGCTCGCGTGTGGCCGAGGAGCTCTTTCTTCTGGAACGCCTCTATGCGGATGTGGTCTCCACTGCGTAGTATGAAGCGCTCATGTTCTTCGCATTGCTTGCCCTGCACCCAGAGAGTGGTGTGTAGGGCTCGATCCTGGAACAGGCCCACCGCATTTGCCGCTTCGATGAGCTCCTTCACATTGGCAAATTGGTGCGCCACCCTTGCTTCCCTATGCAGCAAACATTCCATGGCTGCCCAAACTAATGGACGGGGAGGCTACACTACTCTCCAGGGTACTTAGAGGAGCCCATCCCTCAAAGCTCACACTCGCAGTGTCAGGGCTAGATTGGGCCGCTCCTGACCCACTGGACATTGCTGGCGCTTCATTTATGGATTTTTGCGCATCTTGCCTGGGTCTTTTACTGCCCTGCTCACTAGACTGGCAGTCTTGGCTCGAAGGCTCTTCATCTTCTTTTGTGGGGTTCTCATTGCAGTAGATGGTGAAAGCTGAGCCTGGGTCTACCTGTCTCTGTACATCTGGCTGATCAGCCGGCCAATAAACATCTGCCATGAAGGTGAGACAGTCTTCCGGCTGCGTGCACAGGTGGCTGATTCCTGCGTGAGCAATTGCAGCAACTCTAGTGATTTCCCGAGGCAGGAACATCACCCTTCTCTCAACAGGTCCGTGCTGTCCTCCTCTCAGCAACTGAAGCAAAATTGGGCTCCATCCCGGCCGTAGTTCATGCCGATCGAGGACAATGACGTCGGCTTGCTCATGTTCGTCAATTTGGCCAAGTGGTGGGGAAATCTCAAAAATCTGAGGTTGCCTGAGCCCCGTGTCTGCCCATGTCCTCATGACGTATGGCTCCATGTCCTCATTGTCGTGCCTGGCTTGGTCCGGGAAAAGACAGTAACGCGGTACTGCATGCTGGTACCTGAATGACTGCAGATTCGACAGCTGCATTTCTTGAGGCTGCCCATGATCCGGAACTCCTTGAGCTGCCTCCCTTTGCAGCTGCTCAATCATCCCAGGGTCAGGTTCCACTTGCAGAGGTAGGTGGTGTTGCACATGAAACGCAATCTGCAGAAGCGCCCCTGGTCGGACATCATGTACCACTTCCGGGCGCACCTGTTCCCCTTGCAACTGAACCTCACAGTCATGTACTTGACAAAGGTGCTGCATGTCCACCTGCTGGAGGATTTGCTGCCTGTTGACCCTCGGTGGGATGACTCTGGCATGGTAGTCCGCTGGCCCTCCCGGCACTGCTAGCTCTAGCAACACCGGCTGCATTCGGAAAATGGCTCTGGTACGCTGCGCCGCCGTGGACATGATGTAGACCGTCGCCATGGTATCCCCGATGAGGTCCACAGGTTGCGGCTGCACAAAGTCCAATTGCAACCCCGGCAGCTCTTGTACTTGCCAAGCCGTGGCAACTAACTCGAGCAACCTTTGTGGGGTGGTGTCTGCTTCAACCCACAAGGCTCCTCTATCTCGTCCCGGCATGAAGGTGAGAACCAATCGCCTGGGCCGCATCAGTAGGAGAGGCCCATCTGGATTACGTTCTCGTTCCCCTCCCTCTTCTTGGCCGTCTTGATGTTGATTAGCTTCTTCCGGCTCTTGTGCACCGAAAGGTCCCGTCATTTCCTGCTCATAGGCCTCCGGCTCCAAGCTTCCTTGCCCTCTAGGATGTGCATGTTGCGTGTTGTCCTTGCGTTCTCGCAGCAGGTCACATGGCTGATGGCTAGTGCTACCTCCGGAAGATCTGACAGACACTATTGGTCCATCAGGGGTCCTATGGCCTTCACTGGGCCAAAGTGGGTTTTTTGGGCAGGGGTCCCGATTGGAAATGTCCAGAAGAGGCTTCCTCTGAACGCAGGGCGCCCCTTGCCCATCATGCTGGTGGCTCTTCTCTTGAGCACTTGCTGGGGTCTTTCCGTTTTGTTCTGACATCTTGGGTCCAGTGATATTTTCTTTTGACGCCAGTCCCGGTGGGTCTATTGCTCTGAGCTTCGCCTGAGCTTGACTTTCCACCGCAACTGAGTCCCAACTTATAGCCTTGCTAACTACCACTCCTCCCTGCAAATCGTTGAGATCTGCTCGGATGGGACCATCTTGGTTGAAGAACCTTATCTCCGTGGTTGTAGCAAAAGCAACATCATTGGGTTTGGCCCGCCTTTGAAGGTTAGGCTCTTTGTCACTTTTCTTGATGCTGGTGACAATCTGATGTGCCCCTTCATCGCACCAGCATGATTCGTTCCACTCGTTTTTGATTGGGGTCTGCAATTGAAAGTGCAAGCAATTTGCTCTCAAGCTAGCGAGCTGTACACTTACAAAGTCTTCTTCCCATGTGACCGAGTGAGACCAATGCAAAAGCGAAAAACAGTGATCTGAGCCCTTCACTCGCTGTACATGTCCGACAGTGGCTCCCCTGCTCACGTTTGCCACTGAAGCTGCCCATTGTGCCCAACATGTACAGCAGCTCAAAAAAGCGCGCCAGGCTCCTCCGGCTTCTCTGCGTGCTTGCCCCTTGGACTTCTCTCCCTTTCGTACTTCTCCTTTTCGCCTTTGCCCGCCTGGACCATGCCCTCTTGCTCCTTTGCGGCTTGTAGCAACTGGCTCATGGATTCTTTGACCTTCGCACCCTTGGCATTGAATGCTGCCATGGACGCTGTGTCGGCCATCTCCTGCCCTGTCCATGACATTCTCCTTAGACTCCTCTGATGGTTCCCCTATCTCCGCCACTTCTGCCGTGGCATCCTTGAGCCCTTGCTTGGCCTTTTTCAGGGATTCCTCCGCTGCCTGGTACTGCTCCATGAAGTTCTCCTCCTCCTCCACGAACTGCTTGATGTGCAACTGCCAGGTGTTGATGCTCTCTGAGAGGTAGCCCTCCCATGCTTTGAGCCTTGATGAGTAGGCTGTCTGCATGGTTTCGAGGTGCTTCTTCGCGTTGCCCAACTCCGTGGTGCGCTTGTGGATGTCCCTGGTTCCCTGAGCCTCCGCATCTCGAAGGGCCTGCCTTAGCGACTCCGGGATGCTGTCCTCCGGGAGTTTCTTGACCTCCGCCAGGATGGCGCTGAGCTGGTGTTGCTGCTCTGGTGGCTGATGCTCTTCCTTGGGCGGCCATGATGGCAAGGATGCCACAGGCCATGAGGGCCAGGAAGGCCCGGAAGGCCCACCTTTGGGGTTTTCCTTTCCCTTTGCCCTTTCCCTTGGGGGGGCCCTTGGCTGCTTGCACAGTCGCCCATGGTGGGGGGGGAGCATGCTTGATCTGATACGTGCTGTAGGCCGAGTCCCACCATTCCGTGCCGGGAGCCTGCTGGTGAGCACTGGTTGCTCTTGTCCTCTGAGACTGGCTCCTTTTGCGTGGGCTTTTGGGCCTCTGGCTGCTCCTTGCGGCTGAGGCCTTCCATGCCTCCGTTGTGACGTCCCACCTGCTGCCACATCTTTGGCAGTAGGTTGCCTTCGCCTTGTTGAGGATGCTGCATTGTGCACACCTCCATGGTTCCATAGGCCACTCTACTCGGCTCTGCCTTTGAGCCGAGTGGTGCCCAGCCAGGATGATCTTGGCCTTGTGGATGTTCTCCTGGGTGCGCTCCACGGGCTTGAGGACCACCAGGCGTGCCCAAGTTCTCCGCCTCCGGTCCTTGCGGTGTCGAGCGGACTCCTTGGTCGTGTTGGGTCGCGGGCCTGAGAGGCCACGCTGGGGTTCGCCTCGAGGTCTCCCCCCTCGAGCCAAACGCCTTCTGGGTGAATTATCATATTTCACCAGCCTGAAATAAGGTGGTTGGGGGGCTATTCCCAACATAAACCACCTTTTGGCGTGAGGTCGTGTGAGGTCGTAATTCACCCAGAAGTGATGGGCGAAACATAAGTGGGATCCTTTTTAGGAGGACCACACCTCCTGGGACAAAGCAAGAGGGATTTGGTTGGTGCGCCCTTAGATGGTTTGGGAGTTCGATAGATTGGCCAAATGGTAGTTAACTCATATCCCTACAACCATTGCATGTGGGTAACCATGGTCCCCAACCACTTCGCTCATTTAGTCGGCTGCGGTGTCTTACACTTCGAGTTCCCTGTGTCGCGGAAACTCCCTGCCTGCCAAAGTCGGGGGAAAAAAGTGAAGAGCTGTGAGGACCAAGGAAACCAAAGGAAACCAAAGGAAACCAAAGGAACCCTAGTTGACGAGCTTTGGGCTTTTCCGGACTTGGCGAAGAGATCCCAATGCCCCTCAAATCGAGCGGCCGTTGCGGCTGAAGAGGAGCACTTCCTGAGGGCAGGCCGAGGCTTGCAGAAATACTGAACAGGGATCTTCAAAAGGGAGAACCCCAAAGGAAAAAAAACTGGGAGGGTTTGCGTGGGAAAAATCCAGTTGGAAACTTCCAACAGGGATCCTTACATCACCTGAACATTGCCTTGTACATGGTGGTGTCCCTTTACTTTGGTGGAAAAAGCAACATGTGTCAAATGGTTGCAAACTGTATCTTTGATTAAGCTTGTGGATCCAAATGACCGGAATGAACGGGTCACCAGTAACCAGAAGTAACGAAGGCTTGAGCAATTTGGGAGAATAGGTAACTGCAGGAACCACCTTTGACTAAACACAACATTGCTGGTTGCCTCCAGCAACTGGGATCGGGGATAGCTTGGAAGGCTTTGCCTCCCATGCTTCACGACTCCTTTCTTGGGGATGGAATTTGGAGTGGGGGCGAAGCAGCGGTTTGGAGATCTGGACTTGCAGCAGCGCTGACTTATGGGCATCATGGCCCAAATTCGCGGGCTCGTAGGCGGCTTGGCCAAAAAAACCGTCCAGAGCGAGGGGCTGTTCTTCAACTGCGCGAAGTCCGGTGAACTCGTGCTATCTCTGGTTTCTTCGGGTTCCATCTTAATCTGGGGGCATTTCACCACCAGCAAGAAACAGCCACAGCTTGGTCCAATAGCCGGCGGGAAGCCCACCACACCCCGGGCCCATAGTCCATCTTCAACCTGACCCAATGCACCGAGCAACATGTTCACATGTCTCGATCAATCTGTCAGGCGTCCTTGGGTCAGAGCAAGGAAAGCGGATTCAACTCGACCCCACAGGGCAAGTTGCCAGTTCTGTTTTTTTTTCAAACCTGGGTCCACAATTGGTCTCACGCTTCGCTTGCCCAAAGGACTCAGACACGTTTTGGTCCGCTTGAAACTTCACCACCTGCAAGTGCAGGCAAAGCCCTCGCGCGATGGAGGGAGGGAACTGCGCACGCCTCTGTGCTTATCAGTTACTTTTTGGTTGTATGACCTACAGATTCCTCGAATTCGGCTCCGGATTGATCCGTTCAGTCGATTGGGGGCGGGGACAATGTTGACTTGCCGGAGTAGGGGCGAGCAACTACCTCAAAAGTCAGGGGTTCTGCTCAGTCAGTCCTGCACAAACCGGACGGTTATAGCATACGGCAAGCTCCTAATATACTCAAAAACAAGATCAGCATCCCTCTAATTGGTGGTTTGGATTGGTTTGGAAACTTGAACCCCTGGATCTTGGAAATGGCAAATGGAAACCCCCCTCCAAAGGACCACCTGGCTCCAGGCTCCAAACGACCTGAGAAAGGGCAGCTGGCCGAGGCTCGTAGGCGGTCATCAGCGCATGCACGGCCAGCTGCCAGGACTGATCCGCGAACTTCCGGAGGTTGCCTGAGCCCACCCAGTGCCGTGGAAGCCGTTTCTCACCTAGTAAAACTGGCCAAACAAGTCCGAAGCTTTTGGCGTGCCGCGAAAATGGTCTTGCTAACATGTCTAAAGTCCTTGGGGAGTACTTAACCCACGAGAAATGAAGAAGCAACCTGATACTTGTTACGAGGCCTCTTCACCATTGTCGAATGGCGCCGAAGTCTGAGGCCAAGACGTGACTCAAACGTTCAACAAAATTTGCACATGTATTTGCGTTGCAAATTGACAAGTAGAGAAACTTGCCAGAATAGCTCAGAAAGAACTTGCAGAGATCAGCTTGCACGGAGACTCTTGCGCAATGCACTTGCATAGTGAACTTGCACAGAGCAACTTGCCAGAGTAGCTTGCACAGAGAACGTTGCACAAAGAACTTGCACAGAGAAACTTGCACAGATCAGTTTGCACAGTGCGTCTTGGGCAATGCATGTGCACAGGGAATTTGCATAGAGCAACTTGCCAGAGTAACGAGAACATTGCACAGAGAGCGTGTCGAAGAGAAAGTTGCACAGATCAGCTTGCGAACAGAAACTTGCACAGAGAACTCGCGCAGAGCAACTTAAAGGGAGAACTTGCGAAGAGAACTTGCATAGATAACTTGTGCAGAGAAACTTGAAAAGAGAACGTCGCACATCCCACACCTCACCTCGATCATGCGCCACGCCTTTGCGGCGCTCGCATCTTCTGTTAAGCTTCGGATGAAACAATCAGCTCCGTGCGGCTGTAAATGCTTTCGGGCCAGCCGTCTAGTGTTGGTCGCACGGTTCCATTTGTCCAGTCTTCCAACCACAGGGAGCAGAAGCACAAGCCTTGGCGAGGGCTGTTTTGGGTGAAAACCAATAAGGGCCAAGTCTGCATAATGAGCTTGGACAGGGTTCCGTTCTCAGTCAGTCCCTCGATCGCCATAGTCTACCGTTGACTTGTTTTGGGCGACAGGAGAAACACTAGGGTCACCGCATAAGTGGTAGGTCAGTTTCTGACCCCGGAGATGGGGAATTGCCTCGCAACTTCTCATGAATATGCCCAATTTCACCTAACCATAGTCCACACCACCCCAGAGAAAAGACAACACCCCAGCTATGGGGGAAAAAACCAGCTATGTGGAGCAAAGGGCCTGTCTTTTCTTGGGAGTACCCCTTTGGTGGTTTCAAGGGGACACCAAAAGGGACCCCGGCCATTTTGGCTCCAGTGAAAAATAGGCAGGGTTTAAGTCCGGGAGCTCAGGGCGTGAGAAAGGACACCAAGGCAAATCAGTTCCCTCCAGGAGGGGCGTTCCATTTACCCAAAAAGAACCAGGGGTTCGAATCCCAAACCACCACTCCAAACCACACCAAGAGGGTACAAAAAGCACGAAAAACGCCAGCTACTGGATGGACATCCTGCAGGAGCCCTGAAATGATTCGATTCCCTGTAAATACCAACTAGGTCCTCCAGGTTAGAATAAGGGTACCTTTTTTTCGGTAGTCTATTTTAGTAGGGGTTTTCCCTCCCAACCAAAAAAGGAGTGAGAAAGGGCACTACTTGGGGACCTAGCCAATGAACAATGGTTTCAACCATGGTTTCAAAGCGGTGCAGGCATAGGTGTCCTGGCGAAATAGATGGCGGTAAATGGTTCATGAAACAGCTCTATGTCTAGTTCTAACCTAAAAAAAGACGCCGAACGGAGCCCTCGGGAAGTCCAGGCTTCAAATCCATCTTACACCTCCCCTTACACCACCCCCCTTCCTTAAGAACCCCATGGTTTCAAAGTGCAGGACCTGAAAAGGACTCCTATGGTTTCTGCTCAAATGGGCGGTCAAAAGTAGGTACCCAATGTCTGTCTAAAAGTGTGTCTCACATGGTTTCAACCATGGTTCAACTGGGATCCTTACATTATACACCTGAACATTGCAACTTGTAAATGGTGGTTTCCCCTTATTTTGGTGGAAACAGCAACATGTGTCAAACGGTTGCAAAATGTATCTGTTAAGGAGCCCTGTGTAACCAATCCCATAACACTCTGAAAAGGGCTTGCCCTGAAACTTCGATGCCGCCTGCCCGTTGGGGAAGAAACGCAGCCGCACAAGGACCATCCAAATTGGCGGGTTCTACCTCCAGCCACCCAAAAAGGGACACAGGTCACTGGAGGAGTGATTTCCGGAACGCCGGGTCCGGGGAATTAGAGGAAGAGGAAAACAAAGAGCCCATCAAAAAGAGCCCAAAAAGTGGTCTCCAAGTGCTGGATTTCTTCTTCCATCCACTTGAACACCGCCGAGGCGCGGGGTGCCGCCAATGCCTCCTCAGTGCCCACCGCTGCTCCCAGCTGCCGCGCCCCAGCGCGGCCTCGGTGGGCGTGCCTCGTCTTGTAGGTCTCTCTTTTCTTGGAAGGTACCCCATTTTCAGAAGGGGTGCTGTCTGGGATGAAGGTTTCAGCGCTGCAAAGCTCAGAAAACACCGCTTTGTCGGGGCTTTCAAGGAAAACCATGGTAGTTTGCCGATATTCGAGCTGCTCCCCCCCCCCCCGCAACGAGTGGTTTCTTTGTGGTCTTCCTTTCCTTTCATGACCATCCAACCGCAGCTTCCTTTTAAACAAACATGACCAAACCAATCTTAGGTGGTCCAAGTGAGTAAAGGTCATACATCTCAAGGTTGGGCCATTCTTGGTTACCGAGAAACTTGAATCAAAGAGACGCTTCCACCGTCGCGCTTTGTTTCAACACATAGCATGACTTGTTCGCGCAATGTACTGGCGATTTCCATGGAAACGATCGCCACTTTTGGAGGTTCCAAAAAGGGGCATGGCTCGGACCGAGCTGGATATCAACTTCAACATCAAATCTATAGGTACCATAAACGGGGGGTGGCGTATGTATGTATGTATGTATGTGTACATATACCAGGCCCCCCCGATGGCCGGTAATTGGCGTCCTGGGTGAAGTGGAGGCAATTGACCAGCACTTGCTTAAAAATGGTTTTGTAGTCACATAGACTTTTTTGCCATCATCAAAGTGCAGTGCAAAGTCACTTTTGTTGAAACGTCACTTCAGGATACCAGAGGGGATCCGGTTGAGGGGTTGGGCTGACATGTATGATCATTGCACATGCAACGCGCGGGGGCGAGAGGGGGGGGCGACACGCTAGTGACACGCTCACATCCCAAAAAAGTGACCGTTCAACGTACATGTGCCGGCAATTGGCCACCCCCCGACACGCCGTGACACGCCGTGACACGCTCCTCAAGAACCCCTCCCAACCTCAAACTTGCCCTCCAAACCTTAAATTTGCCGCTCTCCCCTTTCCCCTGCAACCCCATTCCAAAGGACCCTGGAAGGTCACTTGCATCATGGCACAAATTGCACTAAGTGCAGATGAGTGATACTTGCTAGCAAATTGGTTTTGCAGTCACTTAGACATAAAGTGGCATCGTTTTGTCCAAAATCGATGTGCCGGCAATTGGCCAGCCATTGGGGGGTGCTGGTATATATATATATATAGATATAGATATGTGCCTCCCAGAGACCTGCCTTTTCAACGCCCCCAGAAAGGCACAAAACACGAAGTCTCTCAAAAGCTTGGGGGGAGGAATACATATATATATATATACACACACACACACGCATACGCATACTATATATACATATATAGATATATAATATACGCATTAGAACCCGTGTAGACCGGAAGCATGGTGCTTTCCACGGCGCAGGCAGCGATGGCCACTGCGGTGATGACCATGTAGAGCCCCAGCTCCCCCACCACTTGCGGCCCCTCGTTTGAGGCGAAGAGCGCCTGACGGCATCCAATTCGGTCGATGGTTTTTGTACGCGGAGAAAGACCCTTGGGAAATGACCCAGAATAGTTCAAAATACGGTTTTATCCGGACATGCGCCATGGGGTCAATACCCAGTGGGTGTATTCCCAGGGTGTAATACAACAACCCGTGGATCGATGCAGTTGCGCACCGCGCGCCACGCAGATAACCGCCTTACGCTTCATGGCAACCCTTGCTCGAGACTAGGAAAGGAATGCGCCAACTGTGGATTCCCCAATTGGGACTTGTTCAGCGCTCGTTTAGACACTGTTTTGCAACTTTTAAGGGGACATCCATGCGGCACATCAGAAACAAACCCCAGATTTGAACGACTCAAGCGGCTTTTGGATCCTCAAACTACCCGAAAACGGGGCAATTAACACCATCATGTCGGGAAACATGTTGAACATGTTTCATTGGCACGGGTAGTCTGAGGGTCTAGATACCCGGGAAAAGCTCCGCAACTCCTGCGTCGTTTTTCTCCGTGGGGCGTCAAACAAATGTTTGGAACACAATCTGGCGCCCAAGTGGCCATTGGTTTTTGCGCGGCCACCCCCCCCCCCCCCCGGAAATGCCTCGACCGCTATCTCTCAATCTCAAAGTTGTCCAGTGAACAACCCCCCGCAACCTCCAAACCTCAGCAAGGAGTTCCCCTTCAGGTTGGTCATTTTGGGCGTTTCCAGGGAAGCAAACGGGTGGAACCCCCTTAGCTCTAGGGGTTGATTCCCCATTCTTTTCAACCATCGTTCTTTCCAAAAACCGGCCGTTTTCCCTGGGTTTCCGGAGGTTTCCTAGAAAGAAGGATCCCTGGAAAGAATGGAAATGGAAGGTACCCCTAGAATTAGCCGTCTTTTTTCAGAAGCCCCCAAAATTGATTGGGGAATCCCCAACCCGAACGGCATTTCTGTTGAATATCCCTGGGGAGGATGTCTCATTTGATGTCTTGTTCTCGGGGACAAGAACCTGCCCGCAACTGGTGTTCCTTTGGTTGTCCTTTAAACCCTACAAGCACGGGGGTGCCCTCAAAGCAGACATTCGAGAAGGGATTCGGACGGGACAGGATCACAATCCCTACCACTCCGTGAGCTAAGTTCTCAAGTGAGCGGTGCCAGGATCCCACCAAAAGTGGTATTTTCTGCTTCTGCTTCATTCGTCCTTGCCCTGACCCCCCGAAAAAAGGCCCCTTGGATTAGGCTCATGACCTTCAAGACCTCAAACCGGTGTCGTTCTGTTTCTTGTCTTTTCTTTTTTCTCGGGGTTCGGCACCCCCTTGTTCGGCTGACTCACCAAAAAAAGTCCCGGGAACGCCGAGAGATTGGGGGACTCCCACAACAAAACGCTTCCACCTCCAAGGCTCTCGGGCTCGCTTTTTCGTTCGTTTTTGCCGTCCGAACTCGAAGCGAGCCCCGCCACGTCCATGGCCAGAAGCCCAAAACCTGGTGCCACATCTGTGAGCTGTCCGCTCGGATCCCCAAAAAGTCGACCACTTGTGGACCCCGCCAACTGAAAAGGTCCCGAAAAGCTTTCAGGAACCGGATGGCGCCAGGAGCCGCCAAGATACTATATAGAGCTTTTCCGTTGGACCCCCCCAAACACACCTCCCAAAAAGGTCTATTTAGTCTTTCCCAAGGGGGGTTAGGAACCAAGGGCACCTTTACCCAACTCTCGGGCACGTAGAAATGCTGTTTCATTTTGACCCCAGAAGAGAGCGAAGTCCAGCCTTTCCCGAGTTTCGGCACCCGAACATACGAAGACCCTGAAGAGGGGTCTCACAAAAAGCCACGTACTGCACTCAATGCACCACAACAATTTACTGCTTTCCTTGCAGGACTATTGATCGTGCTGATACCTTTGCAGCAAATGCTTGCATAGAGCACTCCCTCGAGGTCCGGTTCTTCGCCAGGAAACGAGATGGTCGCGTTTTTTTTGTTTTTTTTTCTCGGGGGCCGGTCAATATGTTCCGCGCACCAGACATGGAAACTTGACACCAGGATGGTTGAACAATTGTGCAACCATTGCAACGAATTAAAAACCCGAAATACGACTTGGATCCCCAAGACAAAGGGTCTTCATGGGTTTTCACTCGTTTTATCCTGAGCTCGCTAGAAATTAGGCGGATCATTTGGTGTTTCCCGCGCCCCTCCCAAATGTCTCATACAGGACATCCGGACCACGCCCGAATCCCAGGAGCTTCTTGTCAGGCTCACATCCTTCAAGGATGAACCCCTGAAAGCCTTCAAAAGGGTAGTGCCGTTTTGCTTAAGGTACCACAAACAAATCGTTTACCTGCCACAATGACGTCCCTCAAGTCAGGAACCAACAGCAGGGAAAATGACGCATCGCCCAACATGCAACTGGAAGACAAGAACTGGGTGTGTCCAAACGGATAGATGTTCCACAGATTTCCCTTCAGCGTCTCTGAAATAACAAACAACACAATTCATCAAATTCTTGCATGTACACGTCAACCTTGGCAGAATGTTCTTGCAGCCCTGCTAAAAACCAAAAAGCCTACAAACTTGCCAACAACAGTGAAGAAGCCCAAAGACGCCCCCCAGGGCTCACCCTTTGCCCGGTGCCCCACTGATTCGGGCGGTATGGAAAGCCTAGGTTCGGGGCTTCGGGTCCGACCCGAAATGCTTCTCCGACGTAAAGCAAGGGCCCTCGGTCCTACCAAATGGGTACACACATGTCACACATGACTGTCCTTTGCCAGTCGGAACTGGTATTCCCAAATAGGCGGGTCCCCTGATGTTCCCCTACAAAACAAGAAGCTGCGCCACACAGATGGATGCCTTTTGTCAAGGGTACCCGCCCCCCCCCCCCGTGCCACGGACACTTGGAGTCTACTTTGCAGCCAAGATCCCCCCCAAAAAAAAACTAGAAGAAGGAGGTTGCAAAATAGACCCTAAGTGTCCATCATGCCCCCCCCCCCCGCTTTTTTGGTGGGCTTTGAAAGGGGAAACCAAGAGGACCCCGCGTGCCGGGGCCTTGTTTTCGACCCAGTCCCCACACCTGGGAGCAAGCGACATGCTCCCGTCAAGGCCAAGTCCAGCTTCGGAAGGTCCGGCCTGAGGCGACTGGCCGAACATCGGGCATATTGGGTGTCCAACAAGGTACGACCGTTGAGTGAGGAGTGATCCTCCATATCAGCAAGCCACAATCTTGGAGAAGAAGATTGGAGATGTAAGTTGTGCAGTCAGTGTCAACTTGTGGCTTTTCCCGGTTTACAAGCACACTGAAAAGCAAAGATCGCAGATGGGAAAGCAAGACGTGTATGCTGGCTGCTTCTCTGAGATGTTTGGACACATCTCCACCGGAGGCGCCCCATGGAGGGCCCTTCCTTGGTGAGTCCCCTGTTGGATGGTCAGAGCCAGTCCCTATGCTCCCCCCAAAAAGGCCAGACTAGAGTGACTATAGAAGTTCTCTCCGAACCTATGCTTGCAAAAGCTGAAACAGAAAAACTACCAGGTACACGGCGCGTATCGCGCGAATCTTCGTTTGACAGCAAACTGAAACATGAGACGTCCAATGATGCAACATCCAGCATCTTTACCCGGCCATGTACATGCCGTGGTCCAACTACCATCAAAAGAAACCTTGTGGGAATCGACAGCTTCCCTCGGGGCACATCTCTCTTGCACGGACCTGCAAACTCAGGTGGGTATCAGGTGCGTTGCAACCAGTGAAGAACCACAGAAACACCCACATTTGCGGTCGCCTATTTCCATCGGTTCGTAAAAACCCCAAAGGACGGCCGAATTTGAGTCCACGAGGGCCAAGAAAGGCCTCAAGCTCTCTTTAAAGGAAGAAGCCCGGCCCAAGGCTTTCTGTTTAATGACATTCATCAATGAAAAAGGAATTACTTACATACTGTGAATATAAATGATTCTTCATCGAAATGAAGAATAAGACATTTGCTTAGGGCAAGACCACAAACACCACAAATCATAGCTCAGGGCCGGACACGGACTTCGAATCGACCTTCTTCTTCTTCTTACCAAAGAGCGACATGGCGGACCCGTGTTTGCAGTACGCTCAGTGGAACGGACTGCAATTAGACATCAGAGAGGTTGACAAAACGGGTTTGCCACTCGGGCAAACGTGAGACGCCTTTTGCCGAAACAAAGGAAAGGGCTTTGGGAATTTTGGCCAACTGACCAATATCGTGATCAGAGTGATCATACTAGTGATCTTACCAGGTGATATCGTGGTCCTCGAGTTCCAAATGAAGCTGGCATTTGCAATATCGTATGCACTGAATCTTGAGCCTCGCCGCTCTCGATGTGCAAGCGTTGGCTGTGGTCACGACCGGTTCAGGGCGAATCATTTGCATGGCTCTGGACACTGTTCACCAAAAAGCGGGACACCCACACCCTTGCATGCTCCCCGCCATTCACGAACCATGGGTTTATTAATCCGGGGCTAACATTAGACCATGTTTATACTGCTCGTAGCCAACCAGGGTGTTGATGGTGACTCAAGTTCCCGATTTGTTTTTGATTTGGCAACGTGCCATGACGAGACCTGGAAATCAGGACTTGGCCCGGTCAAATGAACTTGACCAAACGACTCCCGCACTTCCAATGTTCGCTGCCTTTTTCCCGGACCTGAATGTGGCCATGGGTCAAAATCCCGTACCTCCAGTGAGCATCCCAATCCCCACTAAAATAGGTCCTACTATGGGTGGTGCATTCACCTACCCGAAAATGGGATCCCATTGGTTTTGACAACCACAGCCATGTGTGTGTGTGTGTTCTTTTGAGGGTGCACTGTAGGTTTGAAAGGGCCGGAAGGAGCACAACCATTTGGGTGCCGTTTTCCGATTTTGACACATGCCCATATGCCTTGAAAAGGTCCCTCGACCTGAGTCACTTGCTCAAAACCCGGTACAAACATGGTCGACCCAGAACCATGTAAAGAACGAAGAAGGCCGCAGCTATTTGTGGCTGGGATCGTCCCTAACCTTCACTTACCCGGGTTTTGATTGTGGCTCACCTGGACTCAAACGACGATCCAGGTCGACTTGTGAGGGATGTGGCGGTTTCGGTCGGGAGGCTCGAGCCCGAAACGTGAGTTTTCTCGGTCACTTCAAAGGGGCCATAGACAATAAAAGGCCCTTACAAATTGTTAGTGGGAGGTTAGGATCCCTAATCCGAAATCTGTGGGAGGGGGCATCACAGTCTGGCAGGATTCAGTATGAGCAAACCATTCAGAGCTGACTACGTCTCGAGCCATGCTGGCCTTTTGATACCCATGGGACACGAATCACTTACCGCCCCCTGCTTATTGGAGACCGGGGACCTGTGGAGTGCACTTTTTCGAGACTTTGAGGTGTGATACCTGAGCAAATTGGACGCATGCCCCGCTGAATGTTCTGTAACAGCAAGTTCTGAAGGTCCGCTGTAACCACGGAGGAAGAACAGGGGTCAGTTGCCTTATAATCAGTTTCCCCTAAGTACTAGGGCCCCCTCCCGGCTTCCCCTTTCGCAAACATACTCGGACAAATGTTGATGAACAGGGTTCAGGTTCAGGGAAGCGATTTGCCATGGTTCATGGGTGCAAGGGGGGCTGGAAAAAGTAGCAACTACCAATCCTCTTTGGGTCAATTGAATAGATATGGCCATGGGTCGAAAGCCAAATCGCACCCCCAGTGAACATCGCAATCCCCGCTAAAATAGGTTCTAGAATGGGTGGTGAATTCACCTACCCACCAAAATGGGATCCCAAAATGGTTTTGACAACCGTTTAGCCATATGGCACGTTTAGAACCGGAGCGTCACAAGGCGCAAGGCCTCCAGCGCTCTATTCAGGAAGGAGAAGCATTCGATGTCGAGCATGTGCACCTCAGCGGTCACACAGCCTGACCCTGGCACATCAATTTACCCACACTGGCTACCGGGCATTCTCCAGCGAAGCTGGAGGACAGAAGTTTCTAAGCTAACAATGTTCCTACGTGAAATCAGCGTGGCTGAAGAGCAACTTGCACAGGGCAAAGTGTACAGGGCAGCGTGAACAGAGTTGACTTGCACAAAGAGAGCAAATTGCACGCAGCAACTTGCATAGAGCAACTTTCGCACAGGGCGAGCAATTTGCGCAGAGCAGCTTTGAGCAGCTTGCACATGCGCCAAGCCACTTTTGCAAAGCAACTTGCGCAGCTGTCACAGCGAGAACGTTCCAACGCGCACGATCCATCCACAGAGGCTTCGTCGGGTGAAGCGCCAATGCTGTGCGCGCGGCCGCGCCAGGTGGCGAAGCCGTGCGCTGCACAGAGGTTGCTCTTACTTCCATTCGCATCCTCTTTCACTTTTCGCATTACGGAATTTGCCGAGCTTTAAGCCTCCTTTTGATTACCAGATACTGATTGCTCTTTCCCATTTTTGACTTTTGGAGTCAGCCTTATCTTCAGAACACCTTAAAACTCTTTAGGACCTCTTCGGCAAAACAACGCATTCCAAGCGGCCTCGCGCTTGAGTCATCAGTCCATATCGGAGAACTCCAGACCGACTTTGCGAGTGAAACATTTCCCTTTCCAAGGAAAGTAGGGCCCATGGACGCCTGCGACCTTTTAGCCCCATACCTTTCCTTTAGCCCCATATTTAGAAGCGAAGGGACGGGCCAACCGCTGTGACGCAGCCATAGTCAAAACATGTGACTCTGGGACTTGGACGTGGAGGCCCCTGTGCTTTGAACAAAATGCGAGTCTCACTCTCCCACATGGACCATAGACCACTGAGACCAACGTATATTTTCACCGCACCTGCAAGGCCTTTGGCCAGTGAGTAAGCCTACAAGGTTTGGGGTTGTTGACCCCCTTAACTCAAGGACCAAAGTGAAGACACAGCCGCCAATCACACAACAAGGTGAGCTTTTCCTTGGCCATCCCAGTTTTGGACGCCACAGCTTGGTCCCCACCTCCTTCCCGAAACTGCGCCGGTCTTTCTGGTCACGGGTCCCAGGAAGAAGAAACACGGCTGTTTAGGAAAAGGGCGCAAAAAACAGAACATTACTGGATTCGACAGTGACATCCAAACACCTGACACCATTGACCAAGAACAAAATCTTGTAACAGCTTCTTTGCAAGAGCAAACGTTTGCTAATTTTATGTTCATTCCTGGAAACGGCCAACCCAATTTGTGCAGTGTTGACGGTGAGGAATGGCGTGCTTGCAAAAGGGCTCCGCCGAAGTCCTTGGACTCAAACCCACTTGCTGCGCCAGCGCTCCCATATGACTTTGTCGCTTAGGGGCTTCCTTGGGTGTAACGGGAGAGTGGCCTTACATCCGCCTCCCATTCTCCACAACCATCTGCCGAAGTGCAAAGATCTTGGTGGGCAATTGGGAAGCAGCAACACCCATTCCGTGCTCAATCCTCCATGACGTTCAATAAGTCACAGAAAACACCGTGCCCGGTCACTCCTTGTTGGGTTAGCCAAGTCTCAACTGTCTCAACTCGTAATCACCCAACCGTCTTCCCGACAGGTATGAAGTTGGAACCACCTGGTCACCCCCACCCGCAAGAGTGTGCTCCGAATGCTCCTAGGAATTATGTCCCCCTATAGCGGAGCCGGATTTGTCGTAAGCTGGCATTTATTGGGCATGACACCTACTGGGAAAGTCCGCTTGAAACTGTCAAACTTGCTTACCTGGTATGGAACATCCAAGCAGATTGCGCCTGGCGGAAATCCCTCCCATCCCCGCCTCATCAATGAAGAGCACACCCGGGACGATGTCGGCCTAGTCTCACTCCAGCTGCAGGACTTAAACCGAGCTTCGGTTTTTCCTTTTGAATGCCCTTTGAAAAACCACAAAAAGGGTACCCGAAGAAGAAAAGGCAAACCCAAATCAAGGGCCTGCCACTGAAGAGTCTTCCATTTCAGGGAACGGGCAACAAAAAGGAACCCAACGCCATTTTGGCTTTGGTCCAACATATCCTTTGTTGACGCGCTTGTTGGAAGACTTAACTGGGCTGTTCCCAGATGCGAAAAGCTTGACTTCTGTTTTTGAATGGAGCACCCCACAAACCACCCGGAACCCGGACGGCTGGGAAGCAGCAATCCCGGAAGCGACCGCCCACCGCTCCAACCAGGTGAGTTCGACACGAGCAACGCCAAATTGTTGCCAGTGTCCAAGAGATGCAGAGGCTCCCAGTCAACCCCGGAGAAAAAGCACGAAAAGGAGGGACACCGAGCAATTTACTTGGGGCTTTGCAAGACTCGGAGGCCGATGCACACGAGGAACTCAAGTCGTGCCCCGCCTTGCCCTCCTCTCGCCACTCCGCGACCTTGGCGTCGATCTGCTCGCGCACCTCGGTGCACATCAGCTCCGCGGTACCGCTTTGAGCTAAAGGGCAAGCAACCGGCTTTTCCACCAGGTTCTTCGGCATTTTGTCTAGGTCCTCCAGTGGAGAGGATAGAATAAGGGTACCGTTTCTTTTCTCTGCAGTTTATTTTAGTAGGGGAAGCCTCCCAACCAAAGAAGGGCTTAAAAAGGGCACCCAGCTGGGGGACCTGGTGTGTCTCCCGGCTTATTCAGAACTGGCAGGTTGACAAACTGCGTCTTGGAGGGGAAAGAAGTGGACGATCTATATGAAAGGTCTACGCCATTCGGTGCCATTCGGTGGCCATCAGCCTGTATTCAACTTGTTGGTGGGTTATGTTGGTGGACCAGGGGGTACCATCTTGGGCTGTGTCAGACTTGTTCCTTATGGGAAACTCAAAGGTTGACCTTTTAGTTCGCCCAGATCGGTTCCGTGTCTCTGTGGGATATGAATGAACCCCTCATCCCAAAAAAGAACAGGGAGAAAAAACCACAAGTCTGCCTCGTGCTTGATCTCCCCCGTGTCGCCGGCAAACAAGGCCAGAAAGCCCTGCTGCCGACCTGGGAGGAGGCGCTAAGGCTAGGTGGGTGGTTGGTTTTTTTTGGTTGGTTGGTTGGTCAGGGTCAAACTTGCTCTTGCTTGTGGAGGGCAACTTACCTAGATGGCCGTCGGGCAATAGGCACCGCAGGGCATTGGGTACTGATGGGATAGGGCGACTCAGACTCAGGCATTCTTAGGGTATTCTACGTTATTTCACCTCGGTTGCTTTCTGCTCCCCTGCTAAAAGTTTAACTTTTAGTGGTTTAATGGAAAACCCATTAGTTGGCAAAAAGTTAAAGTCCTAACATCCAAGCAAAATGCACCAAAGTCACCATGTGAGCATTTGAGGGCTCAAACTTGCGCTTGGTTCCCTAGCCACCAGAGGATGTCACTGTGTTGGACCCAGGAATCACAGCCATTTGTTGTCAAGTCTGTAGCAGAAGACTCAAGAGTCGGCTTTCCTGGTGTCAACATAGTCTATGGCCTCTCTTAAACTAGGACACATCTCCTGATTAGCGTGTAACCTGGGGACATGACTCGACTTAGACCTTGGTGCACCTTTGGGTAACTTGGTAGCCCAGCGATAGCTGGGGCATCTAGGGTAACTACCAGAGAAATATGCCAGACACGCGGATCTCATGTGGGTCCCAATTGTGAAAACAAACAACCTACAAAATGGGAGTAGATTTGCGAGCGTTCCCAAAACACATGAATAGGGGCTGGTTGTATTGAGCAGTACGAATGGTGGCGCACTTGGAGGATCCCCCTTGCGTTCGGGTGATGTTGGCAGGGTTTGTTGCAGTTAAGCTGGTTGTGGGAAACCAACAGTCAGGCACACGCGTCTCGCCTCAGCGTAGGGCCAAAAAACAATGATGGTCAGCCGTCTGAGACAAGGATGCGCTAGAAATCGCCAGCCCAAGTAGCGTAACCCAGGGCCACAACTAGGTCCTCCAGCAAAGAGGTTAGAATAAGGGTACCCTTTTTTCTGTAGGCTATTTCAGTAGGGGTTTTCCCTCCCAACCAAAAAAGGGGTGAGAAAGGGCACCTAGCTGGTGGACCTGGACAATGGATACTGACTGCTGCTCATATGCGCAATCAAAAGCCCTGGCGAATTGCATCATTGCCTGGTGCCGTGATTAACCCTCTGGTATAAATGATAGCCAGGATTCCAACTAAGAGAACCCCATGACTGGATGCCGATTAACTGCTTAACCCCCATAGTTTGTTGCATCTCCATAGGAGACAAACATAGATAAATGCAACCAGGATTTGTTGCTCGAAAAGATCCACTTGTATACCACAAAAGGAAACCAAAATGGTACGGACTGTTCAGTCTTTCCAGACCCCATAGCTTGCACATCACCCCCATTTTCAAGTCTTCACAGCGGGCCTGCTAGGGTGTGAGGCTTGTAACTCAGTTCACGAATGAGCATACCACCTGTAACAGAAACTTGGGAAACGGGGGACCCGTCAGGACCGAGGATGCGCAAAAGAGCAGGCAAATTCATTTGGGGGTTCATGTTTTAGTGGGAAAGCCCAGGAGCCAAGGATGACCCTCAGGGCCCACTTCAAGAGTTCATAGGAGAAGCCCTGATAAGCCACAAGGCCTTAATATGGGCCCGGCCACGGACACCTGCATCTGCATTACCATTCCGGGACTCTTTCGCCGAATCGCAAACAGGATTCACCAAGGGTATCATAGAGAGTTGCAACCTAATGCTTTAGACTTGCATTCACAACTATGCCCTTGTCAGAACAGTTTCCCTCTATACCAAAGAGGGAACCATATACAACGGAAAGCAACCCATTTTCTGCAAAGGGAATAATATGTGGCGCAACTTGCATCTGGCTGTGACAGGTGACTGTGATGCACTTGCAACTCCCCTCTTTTGCTCGTACGGTGAGGTCATGTGTCTGGCCAACTAGGGCTTGCCTTTTTCCGCAGAAAAAGGGATCTAAAGACCAATCTGGGCCCCCCGGCTGTTGATCACGTCTATCTCGTGCAGGTTCACGGTGTGGACCACCTGACGGAAGGCGAATTGAAGCGAAGCCCCGAGGTCTGTTGACGAGAATGCAGCCGTGGTTTCGAACGTTTTTGTGCTCTCAGTCAATCTATTTGCGCATGCCCGTATGGAAGAAAACAAGTTATGATCGTGTGATATGATTTTGCTTTCAATCAAGGGTCGTGCACGCGTGCCAGGTAGTCTAGTCTAGGGATGTTCGACCCTTTTCTTTAGCCATTTGCGAATCATTCACTTGCTTCACCAGGTCACTCGGGGCCAAAGCCAGACGCGACCTTTGCCAGGCCAAAGGAAGGGCAGAGGAAAGGCATGCAACATGTCCGCCGAATGCTTGAACGCATGGTGTCTTGTTTGAAGGACATGGCTATACCTCTCAGGTATACAGCTCGGCCGCTAGGGCCCCCGAATTTAAAGGACCTGTATGGTTGGGGCATGTTTCCAGAAGCACTTACCCTTGAACATGGGGCAGTGCGGGACGTGGATCCGAAGGCGAAAAAAACCCAACGCTGCCGAAGACTGTTGGCTTTTGGCCAATCAACTCGGCGTTTCTACTTTTTGGACAATCGGATGGCTTTCGCGAGGCTCCAACTTTTGATGCTCCATCGGAGGGAAGAGTTTTTCGCTCATGTTCCTTTTGCGGGCGCCCGAAGGGGCTTAGGAACTCCGAGTTGACGCCCAAGTTCTCTTTCAGCAAGCGAGAGACCCCCGAAACGACCCAAAAGATCAAATCCTCCCATAACTTTGGGGCAGAGCGCGGTTTTGGGGCTAGTTCTTGAGGGTTTCAGGAGGCCGACTTGAAGCGGCGGATCCAAGATCCAATTTCCCCTTCCTGGGGATCCGAGGACTCAACGCTGGAGCGGCCCCCAGCTTTTTAATAAGCTGGGGTTGATGGATATAAAGTGAACAGAACCCGATGCCCAAGTTGTCATTTGGCTGTGGCTCAAAAAACCGGTACCAAAATGGATCCCTGGCAAGTGGAAACATGGACCAAAACCTGCGTAACCCCTCCTGTTCAATTTTGCGCCACACCCATTTGGAACACTTCCCACGTTCAACTCCCCCCGAAGACTTCCAGGACGAAGCCCTTGCAAGGAGCTCGTTTTCTCGACATTCGCGAAGGACTGTACATCTTCGAGTGCGACGCGGTGTGGCAAATCTATTTGCCAGTTTGCCACCAGCAGCTTCACACGGGGCTCTGAAAAAAAAGGCAATCTAGGTCCTCCAGTAGAGAGGTTAGAATAAGGGTACCGTTTCTTTTCTCTGTAGTCTGTTTTAGTAGGGGAACCCTCCCCAAAAAAAGGGGAGAGAAGGGCACTACTGGGGGACCTAGCAATCAAAGGATGTCCCCAAAGTTGGTCAAATCCACAAGAGACACACCGCGTGCCGGAGAGCTCGAGCGAGAGCTCACCACCAGCCGTTCACCTGCAGGGTTCGCAGTCGAAGCGGCTGGAAGAAGATGGATCGCGAACCCCAACCATCCCTAACCCAAAACCATGGGATTGAGAGGATGGAATCCACATGACTGGCGCTTTAGGGAACCTTATGAGGGAACCTTAGATTGGGGTACAACGTGTATGTTTCAACCACGGTTTCAGCTCAACTCGCCAGGGTTCCTCCCCCAAACCAGAAGATAGCAGAAGCATCTGGGGTGATGACCAGGCAAGGTCCAGGTCGTTACACCATTTCTTGCCCCGGTGATTCTGAACCCCCCTTCTCAAGTTGCACATGTCCACCACACAATGGCTTCCATGCAACTAGCTCCCAAAGCCCCCTGGCAAGCGGGGCAGCATGCCGGGATCAACCACCCCATGCTTCAACTTCAACTGGCTGAAAAGCCAGCGACTGAACACCGGTGTCCGATGACAGCTAGCATGCCCCATCCGCTCGCACTCACGGCAAGTAGACTCCACCGGCGCTTTGAATTCGGACCTGTTGATGTTAAGCTGTGAGGCGACAAGTCACCTAAATTGGCTGGTTTCCTGTAGGCTTCCCCAAAACCGACCACTGGGTCTGCCATTTTTGTTGGACATCGCATGCCCCTGTCAAACTACACAGGGGCTATGCGAGAAAGAAAGAAAACAACTAACAGGAAGGAAACGACTTCGGGCTCACGGATGTCCAGGGGTGCTCCCAAGATCAGGAGCCTCCAAGCCCCCGACCCCAAACAAAAATAATAATAATGCAGAGCAGTTTGGGGAAAACAAAAACGCACCCTCCGAAAAACCGAGAGACTCGCTTTCCCAGAGGACCTGGAAATAAAAGGTTAACCTTTTTGGACCTTTACTAAAAACGAAGCAACATGAGAAGTCCAAAAGGTCTAAAGGTTGATTCGCTTTGGGCAAAGTGAGGAGAAGACCAGCGCATCTTGACGCAGCCATGTGTTGCCTTTTTGGCGGTTTTGGGACGCCTTGAGCTCCACATCCGTCTCCAGGAGATGTACCAGGCATCGGGTGATGTTCTCCACGTCGTGCATGCCCAGGTGGTGGAAGCCATATTTGGGGTTGCCCTCGGCGTCCAGCAGCCTCGTGGCAACGAGCCAATTTTTGTTTTTCTTGCTGGTGAGTGCCTGGTTGGGAATGACCCACAGCTTGGGACTGAAGCTTTCTTTGGAATCCTTTCCTTGGGGGAATCCCGAAAGGCAGCCATGGAATGCAATGGACGGCGGGTATTCCCTGCGGAGAATCAGCAAGTATTGGATCAGTCCGGTAGGCGACCCATGGGTCTGTTTCAAAAGTAGGAAGGTGCTTTTGGATGGTGGCTTAAAGGCAACCAAAAGGAAACCCGCCAGCTTTCGGGGTCCAACATTTTTGAGACACACCCAAATGGGTTCGAACAAATGAGTGTTCAGCCGGGGAACATCTCCAGGCGTCTTTCTATTGGAGTGGATGTGCGGGCTGGGCGGTCTTCTACAAGAAGGGGTGAGCGAAACGCAAAAATCCATCCAAACCAACGAAGGACTACCCGCAATATGGGAGTGCCAAAATTTGAGGGCACCCTTTTTGGCGGTTTTTAAATGGGAAACCAAAGGAACGACGCACACATATGCCTGGATGTTCACGTGATAATTCAGGGGCATTGGCTCTTTCCCCGAAAGCTGTTGCTGAGATAATCATTGCATTTATGGGGTTTTCCAAGTAATTACTGATGTTGTTCGGATTCCCAGCTAATTGTTGCTTTCGTTTCGACTTCCCACGTCATTCTTGCTTTTGTGGCTGTGGTGTGTTTTCCCCATTCTTGCATTTGCTTGGTTTTGCCAGGTAATGATTGCTTTTGCTTTGTTGTCCCAAATGATTCTTGATTTTGAATCGTTTTCCACTCAATTCTTGCGATTGAATTGTTTCCCCAGTCATTCTGGCTGTTGCTCTGCCCAAGACAGTATTGCTACTCTTTGGTTCCCAACACATTTCTGCGGAGGCTTGGTTTTCCAAACTCTTTCTTGCTCTTTTCTGGACTTCCAAAGACATTCTTGCCATTATTCGGTTCTTCCAAGCCATTCTTGCTTTTGGTTCTGTCCCCAGACATACGCTACTGCTGTTTGGCTTCCTTCCCTAGACTTCGTTGGCCCGTGCTTCGCGCCTGAGCTTGGCCAGCATGCTCTTCATGCCCCGGAACTCCTTCCCGTAGAAGTCGGCGTAGCTCCGCTTGATGTTGATCCACTGGGAGAAGGCCCTGGGCGCCTGAAAAAAGCCATGGGCCAACGTAGCTCCCCCAAATTTACCTTCCCCCAGACTAACATGGAAGCTCCCAGGACCCCTTTGGAAGACTTGGTTCCATTTGCAGAGGCCTTCTGGGAGCTTCCATGTTAGTCTGAGGGACTGTAAGCGGGTTCTCATTTCGAAGTCTATTTCCTTTTTTTCAATATAAGCTTCGGATTGATGAAGAGTACCGTACCAATCGGGTGGTTCCACTTGTAAGGACACCTATTTTCTTGGTTGCTGATAAACAGAGGTATGAATGAAACAGCTAGGTGGTGTTTCCATGGGATATGGGACCTACCCAAGAATGATGGCATGGCGTCTTTGGAAGCCCGAATGAATCTCCAACCCGAGCAGGCCGTAGCTATGCCGTCTGCAAATTCCCACTCGGACTTCCTAAGTATCCCGCCTTCTCATGGCCTTTCCACAGACGTCACTCAGCTTGAGAGGAGTCAACTAGACATGTCTTCTTGGCCACCCAACTGCAGGACAAAAAGATCAGGCCGGTTCGCCTTGGGCCGGCATTTCCTCTGATTCCAAACGGATCGCGTGCACTAGCTGACCCACCCGTGCTAGGATAAATACCGGAAAAAAAGGACATGTAGCTCAAAGAGGGGAGCTTTATCGTGGGCCCGGAACTCATTTCACCTGAGCTGGATAAAGAACATGTAAAGAACATGTGGAGATGCAACACTACCACCCACGCCACATTTTGGTCCATCGTCTTTAACGATGTGTGTGCTTTCGCAGGGGGAGGGAGGGGAGGGGAGGGGGTTGGTGTTTCGGAGGTCCGCCTAAAGTGCGATCTTGGGCGTAAGAGAATGGACGCAGAGATCTGAACATGGGGAACCCCCCCCCGAAACTACGAGGAAACAAGGATCTGAACATGCGTTGTTCCTCTCCATTTTCTGGCCACTTGCTCATCCCAAGGGTTCTGATCAAAGGTTTTGATTGAACAATTCTGGTGAAGGGGGGTAACTAATGATCTGCCCCGTGCCCTCGTAGAAGAAAGACAACTTGCCCAACGCAAACACAGCGCCCTCAACACAACCATAGTCTACCATGGTATCCACACCCTTCCAAAAAACTGGCTGTCATGTCATGTTCGAGGCTGGTGGTTTGTGTCTGGAAAATGTTGGCGCAAAAGGATCCACCAAGTCTGTTTCCGAAACTGCTTTTTTAGCGACTCAAGCTGGATCCTAGGATTTCTACATGGGACCAGGACACCCTTTTGCGTGGTTGCTTGATTTTGAAGGCCAACAATCAAAAACCAACTATAGGTGGTTCGTTGCAGGGTCAACCCAACACGGCATCGGGATCATCGGGCTTAAGTTAGAGGTCCCTAACCGGCAACGCATAAACACAAACGGGGTTTGTATTAAACGGGTCAGCTACCAGCGAAAAGTGGCAACCCTGAAGTTCGGCTCCTCGATGCCGCTGATCTTGCACTGGGTCCAGACCTGAACGAAGATCCGCGCGGCCACGAGAGATGCTAGGTCTTCTTGGTTGACGTTGGAGGGGAGCAGCATTTTTGTTTGGTTGACGTTGGAGGGGAGCAGCATTTGTTGTTTTTTACATTTTGGCAGTTAAGTGTTGGACTTCAACCGCTAAACCACAATAAGCAATAAGCAAATGTCTTGGGAAAAAACAGATGCGTCTTCTTCTGAGGAGCCTTGTGACATTGGTAAGGCAACCGAAGGGAACACCCGGCTTGAAATTGTTTGGGCTCCAACTCCCTGTCTTGACTCGCCGAGAAAAGCCCCCCAACTTTTCGGGTTACGCGGCTTTCCCCGAGTTCAACCCGGTGGGACCTTTGCCAAGCCACGGCCAAGAAGCAACTCCACTTAGACCGACTCATGTTTGCTGGAGCCTGATCCCAATGGATGGGAGAGATGCAAAGACTGATCGCGAGACAACACCAGAGATTAACCAAACAAAAAACAGGCAACAAAACCAGCGCCTGTCCAGAAACCGCCCACCGCCCCGGGAAAAAATAAATTGGCTAAGTACCAACCAAAACCACCGGCCGCCCGTTTTTGCCGAGCCACGTGCTTGCAGTCCCAGTCCCCGCAGGTCACGAAGACCGTGGAGCTCTTCTGCGCCTCTCGCGGGGGGGGTTTTGGTTCGGGGGGCGGTTCTCCACACGTGGAGCCGCCTTGGAAGATTTGTCCCATCCGCTTGCTCGGCTCGGTCCTCCACGATAGCGGCTAGAATAAGGGTACCAACTGTTTTTCGGTAGTCGATTTTAGTAGGGCAACCCTCCCCCAAAAAGGGGTAAAAGGGCACTACTGGGGGACCTAGTTGGTCTTCTTCGACCGGATAGAACACAAACACAAAAATTCGCATTGCGAAGTCGGTTGGGGACGACCATGCTGGAAAATGAGCCTTTCTGTGATAATGTCGACCGCATATCATCAGCCTAGGGGGCTTTTAACCTGGGTTTAGTGGGGAATCATCACCTCTGGAGGGCCCACACCCGCATATTAATAAACTGGGGTTGATTGATATGGGGTCAACATTAGGGGTTCCCCCCCAAAAAAGGCCCCCCCCCCTCGGTCTGTTGACACGTGTTGTCTTCGTTTTGGGGACCCCCTCTTTGGAGGGCCTTTTGCCTGGTTTCCAATTGAACAAGGGGCACCCTCAAACAAAGACATCCAAACGGCCATGAATTCTTGTTAGTAACTTATTAACAACCCTTTGGTGGACAGAATTCCATTGGTGAACATGTTCCTAAAGTGGTCGTCGTTAGCCAAGTGGGCTCTAGAAAGGACGTAGGTTGTGACAAGAACCCAACCCCAGATCAAAAGGACAGTTGACCTGTTGAGTTGCTTCCGATTCAAATAAATGGGTCCGACCAAAGGGTGCAAAGACGATGATGGGGAAATCTCTTCGGAACAAAGAGGCCTAAGGTCCATACAGGCCACCCTTCATTGCAAGCGAGGAATCAACTGAGGGTTTCCCTTGGACTGGTTGAAGGAGCTGCTCTCGCTCCGCTTACATGAAGCTGGAAGATCAACACCCAAGCAGCAGTCTTGGGGACAATCCTGAAAACCACAAGAGTTTGCTTTTCACACTCAACCCAAAAAGGACACCCTTTCCAAAAGACGAGTTCAGCCACTCAGCAAAGCTGGGCATTCCCCACACATCACATTGCCAAGAGGCAGCTCACTTCAAGTTGGTCCGAAGTGATGTTTAAACTGGCGTGAAGTAGGACTATAACGGAATATGGTTGTGTCTATTTCTTAGGGGGGCCCCCAAAAAGCTGGTTTTCCTTTCGGTGTACCTTAAAGCAATAACCCAACGGTACCCTCGACAAAGACACACCCAGAAAGGGACCCCTGATTTCTTGATGTTGCCCCACGTGAACGGAGCGCTCTGTTTTGCACACCCCAATGCACATCCTTGGGTACATGACCTCGAACGGCTTGCTGTACAGAATCCCAAAAAGAGGCATATGTCCAGTACATGCGAAATATGAGGCCTCGATTGAAAGTCTCGTGTTTGGTGGTTTCACAGGAACATCAACAGGAAAGCAATCAACTTGGTTTGTTCTTGTAAACGCTACGGGCTTCCCAAAAGAGAAACTTGTCGGTGCGTATCAAGACAGGGGAACCCCTTTTGACAAGACAACTCCCCAAAAGGGTACACTCAACCAAAGAGACAACTTGGGGAGTGAGCAAAAGCGATGACAGTGATATAAATCCTCAAAACCGCAGGTTTGAGAAGCCCCTGCGATGCTCACTTGAGGGGACGTGCGGACAAAATCCTGCACCAGTTGGGATGGATGAAACATGAGAAACCCCTGTGAATTCTGGAAAAACCATGTGCAAACCACTCACTAAGTGCAGGACTTGGTCCACAGTAAGATATTCCAAGTACTGAGGAAAGCGCAAAACTTGGTTGCTGTTGCCCCCTCCGCAAAAAAAAAAGTGAACAACTTTTTGTGGGTCCCCTGGTGATCATTTCAGGGGCTTCTCAAACCAGCCCAAAACTAACTCTGAGCTGGACCCAAACCTCCGCTTGCTGCTTCACCTAAACAAATGCAAAAGAACATATTTCCAGGAATAGACTCCCTTCAAAGCCAGGGGACTGTGAGCACGGAGCCACGTCCAACGAATCCGCAAAAAGAATAAGGGATTTTTTTTATTTTATTTTTTTCAAACAAGAAAAGGAAAGAACAAAAACGAAGAAGAAAAGAAAAGCAAGAAAACACAAAAGCAGAAACAAACACACAGAAAGACCTCGAGTGGCCTGCAGATCCTGGCCGGTGATCTCCTTGAGCCAGGCGCCCAGGTCCCTCAAGGCCTCAACGAAGGTCACGGCCCCGGTCTTCTCGTTCACAGGCCTCGGTCGCGTGCCAGGCGTGTAAAGCCGTCGCTTGCTCGGCTTCGCGGGGGAAAGGGGAAAGGGGAAAGGGGAGGGGGTTTTGTCGGTTTCTCGGCTTCTTGTTGGCGCGCGGATGGCTTGCGGGGGTCCCTAAAAACCAATGTTTTCCGGCTGGGAATTTGGAAGGTGGTGTTTGGGCTTAGGGGAACAGAGCGCGAAGTCTTGTGGAAAAAAAAGTGTGTCTATAAGCAACTAGCTTTTAGATAAAACCTCAGTTGAATCCTGATTCCATGATTTGTTTGAACAAACCTCGTTTTCGGCATCCTTTCGAAAGGGAGCCATGGTCATGCTTTGACCATGGCCCCAGCCTCAGAATGACCGCGGCTCCCCGCTTCAAATCTTTCCCAAACTGTCAGGGGAACGAATGGACGCAATCTCCACGCTTGCCCAAAGGACCTGGCAACAAAAGGTTAACCTTTTGGGACTTTTACAACAATGAACCAACATGAGAAGTCCAAAAAGGTCAAAAGATCGATTCGCTTTGAGCAAGTGAGCCAACCATCTTGCCAGTTTTTCTCTTCTGAAGGTCTCATGTTGACCCCGGATGTTTAAGACCCGCCCTATCAGGGGGTGTTCCAACAGTGATTCCCCCAACCCAGAAACACCCCCTAATAATAGACCCGGGTTGGTTATTCTGGGGTTGACATAAACCTTTTTGAATGTTTATTCACACATGCCATTTGTTTCCGAAAGTTTCAAGGCGCGATTTGGTCAAAGACCAGCCATGACCTATGGTTGGCATGCCCCATCATCTTTTTCATCCACCCTTTGTTGAAGAAACGCAACATATTTTTGGTTTATTTCTGGGGGTACCCTTAGCCTGTGCTAAGGCACACTTCCCCCGAAGATGGGCTTCTTCCGTTTCGCTTCCCGGTAAAACTCTCCAAGTTCACACCATTTGGACGGATTCAATTCAAAGCCCTCCGGACGTATGGGGATCTATGTCCACAACTTGGGAAGGCACTCTCCATTAACTTTCATAGCCATTTGGTGTTTAACGCCAAACCTGCAACAAAAAGCACTCTGTCTTTTTTTGTTGGGGGGGCCGTCTATTGTGAGAACCCCACATACTTTTGGGAACACCATTTGGGTGCTTCTCAAATTGTGGACCCCTTTGCTCTTGTTTCAAGGGGGATCGCAAGGAAACTAAGCCAAGCGCCTAGGGTCCTTGATTTGGAGATATCCCAGTTAGAATCCGGGGGAAACAAAGTCTAGGTCCTCCAGTAGAGAGGTTAGAATAAGGGTACCCTCTTTTTCTGTAGTCTATTTCAGTAGGGGAACCCTCCCCCAAAAAAGTTGGTAAAAGAGCACTACTGGGGGACCTAGAAAGCTGGGTGCCATGGCTTCGAACTTCCTCTTGGTTTCCCTTTAAAACCAAGCAACATAGATTAGCCCCCAAACAACAAAAAGACCGCATTGTGGTGCCAACCGGTCTTAGTATCTCGAGACCTGAGTTGCAGACCAACCCGGGGCCCTCAGTTCGCCTGCTAAAAGTGCCTTTTCACTGGCGACTTGTGGGTTAAATGGACACTGACACTAATCCAACTAGCAACCACGAAAAGCTAAAAGTTGAACCGGATGGCTGAGAGGCCCCACATTGGATCGATCCTCCAACACTGCCGAGGCGCAAGCCCTGGAAGAGTTTGGCCGGGCGCACGAAGCGCTGGAAGCGGCCCGCCTCCCGTCTTTGCTTCACGTCGAAGAGGAGGACTGGGAACTCGATCACCTCGTCCTCCCATGGGTGATTCTTTTCGACCTCCGACCGAATCCTCACCCCAAATGGGTGGTGTTGACCGGGAATATCCCCTCAACCACCTTGTTTCAGGTGAAATATGTTGTAATTCACCCAGATGTATGTGCAACTATGTCATGTATTATATATGTATTGTGTGCGCATCCATGTCCTCCTCCATTGGTCTTCTCTCTCTTCTCGTGGTTGAGGGCTCATGCTGCTTCTTTCTCTGATTTTTTTTGGGGGGGCGGGGGGCTTTTTTCAGAGGCGGTTTTGTTCCCTGCTAACCATCCCGCAAAGGGCTCCAACTTGCTGCAGGGTGCTGCATTGAAGGCATGCCTTCAATCGGAAGCTCCGCCCTGAAGACCCGAGCCAAGCCAACTGAGCAGGGATCCGGATGCATTATACACCTGAACATTGCAACTTGTAAATGGTGGTGTCCCTGTATTTTGGTGGAACAAGCCATGCTTCAAATGGGCAAAATGTATCTTTTAAGGAGCCCTGCTGAGCTAAGGGTCCAAGGGGATTTTCAACCCAAGGAGTCGCAAAGGAGTGCCTGGAAAAGCGTTTGTGGCCATTCAGTTTTGGACATTAGAGGCTTCCTTTTTTTTGGCGAATGATCATTGAAGGATTCTAGGGGTTGATTCCTTTTCCATTCTTTTCAACCATCCTTCTTTTTAAAAGCCAGCTGTTGTCCCAGGGCTTTTGGTGGTTTTCTAGAAAGATCTGGAAAGAACGGGGAAGCAACCCTTAGAAGGATGCATGAACAACAGGTGCCTGCGCGGTCAAGTGAAGAAGCAAACATGTGAAGCTTCTTCACCGGGCAAGTGTTTCCACCTCCCGCCAATGTGCCAGCTACCCAGCTTTGATTGTGGCTCCCGTTTGAACATGGCAATGAGCCACTCTCGGTACATGGCTCTGTCTGCTGGATATCCGTTTTTGGGTGGTTTCAAAGGGAATCTAAACACAAAACCGCAATTTTGGGGGGGTCCAAAAAAGACGAAGCATGCCATTCACTGAGGCGCCCCTTTTGATTGATTTCTCCTTGCCCTCGAAGTCCAAGACTGCGTAGTAGCGGATTTCTCCTCCCAAACGAAAAGCGATAAAAACAGACACCCAAAACACCCGGCAGATCCAAACAAAAACACCCGAACCATCCCAAATAGCACTCCTCAAAACCACAGAAACACCGAAACAGGCGCTGAAAACTCCCTACCCAAACGAAAAGCGGTGCGATCACCCAGAAGCCAACGGGTCTGCACGTGTGAGCTGATCAGTCTTATAAAATGCCGCCCGTGTTTCCTCCGAAACTTGGTCCGGGCCGGGTGATATCCTCCGCGGAAAAAAAAAGCCGACGCCTGTGCGTTAGGAACACCATGGTTTTAAAAGTGATTGGGTCGGCCGAGTTAAAAACTCACTTGGGTTCAGAGTTGGGCGAAACCTGCTTGCACAACCCGGCCCCAGTCTTTGTTCAAGGGAAGCCAAAGAAGTTGTTTTTAAGACGGCAGCATGTTGCATGTTGATGCTTTTGGAGGGGAACCGTTTTTCCATGTTTTCGCAAGGGCTCCTTCTAAGGTCCGCTCTCTGGAACCCTATTCCCAGTCTTTCAACCTGCAGTCTCCCTAAGCCAGCCCAAAGAGCATCCAAAGAGGCAAACCGAAACCCGACTCCACTCCTTGAGCAACACCTAACACTCGCGTAGGATCATTGGGTCCCAAACAAAACCGTCAAGGTGATCTCAAAACTCGCCACGGCATAGCCCGGTCAGTTCCCATGGCTCCCAAAAGAAATGGCCTTGCGCAGCCCAAGCCTTTCGCAGCTGGAACCCGAAGGCTCGCAGCTGCCGCTCCATTTGGTTCATCGAACACTGGACCGCGGAAATGGATCCAAACGAAGCACCATCTCTTCGGATTGCCACGGTCAATTGCTGCCGCAAAAACTAAGCCCACCTGGCTACGGGTTTAAAAAATGGGTACCAAAAATGGAACCCTGGAAAATAGACATATGGAGTAAAATTCGCGGTCCAATTCCTGGTTTCATTTTGACCCATGCCCACCTCAGGACATCCAGCTGAGCTGAGTACCAGTAAACGGATAGGAGAACCAACCCAGACCTGCCACGCTCTCAAAGCCCCCGAGGCATTCAGCTTGGCTCTGCCAGCCAGATTGGGGACCCATGCTGTAATACCCTTGAGTAAGTAATACCCTCCCCCTCCCGCTTGTTGTTTACGGGGGGTCCCCGTTTTGGTCTAGGATCCATTCTTCCAGGACTCTGATGAATAACTGGGCGTTCAAGCAGGGGTCAACATCACATGATTTACAATGTGGGCTTGGGTGGTTTTAGTATGGCGCTGGCTGGCAGGCCCCTATGCATGATCCCGTGTTTTTGACCATGGCATGCTCGGTTTTCACCGGCCACTGCGCCGGCCTCCGCTTCCCGCCGCCGCGGCTTGCGCCGCGGCGCCCGTGGGTTTGGTCCAGCGGCTGACTTTCTGCTCCGGCACAGGCTCCCATTCGAAGCCGAGGTCCTCCAAAGCACCTCCCATGCCTTTGCTTTCGGCTCGTTTGCTTACTTAAAGGGGCGACTGGGAACTTATAGTAGGTCTTTGACCTTTGACTGACCGTGGCATGTTTCCCCAGATAACTCAAAGCTACAGGGGTTCTAACTTCTAAGGACGGCTGGGTGCTAGGCGGCGTGCAGATTGTCGTGCTGGCGCAAGTGCTGTGGGGGGGTGCTGTTTGAGGTGCTGGCGACGGTGCGGGCGCATTTTTGGGAGATCGGCCGGGTTCTGCTAGGGTGCTGTTTGGGGTGGTCTTCGGCTCTGCTGTTAGAGGTGCTTCTCGAGAATCTGGGGTCTATGCTGGTGTAGTTGACTTTTCTTTTCAGGGACGGACCTCCTTGCAAGAACATGGCTGATGTTTTTTGTCCGCGCAGCCGCGCCAGTGTGAATTGGGTGTTGGTAACAGGAAGCAATGGCATCGTTCAGGGACAAAAACAACACCAGGAAACTAAACCACTTCTGAGACAACTTAAGACAGTGTTTGCATCGTAGAATGTCAGCAGGGTTGTTTTGGCATCACATAGGCGCTTGACATGCCAACTCCTTGCCGGAGGAGAGGCAAGAGGAATCCGCTATGTTCTGCAATGGGCAGATGCACGAAACACCCAATGGCTTGTGAAGAGTGGCCACGCAAGAGGCCAAACCCGGTTGTCGTGCAGGCGTTTTACATACCGAACGCAAAAGATGCCCGATGTGTCATTTTCCAAGTCGCGAATGATTGGGCGAATTTCCCCTCACGTACTGTGGATGGACGAAATCCTGTACCACCCAAGAAACCCTAGAATGACGATTTTCCTGTAAATACCAACAACAAATGGTTCCCAATTGTTTCAAAGCAGTGCGAATTGGATTTCGTCCATCCACAGTATTCAAGTGTTTGGCCAAGCATGAGCTTCGTTTGTGTGAAAACGGTGAACGGAATCGGCCCCCCACCCACCCACCCCAAAAGAGAAAGGTCTCGATGGTGAATAAACGCGTTGTGACGGGCGGTCGATCAAGGGTCTCTCGCCACTTAGTAAGTCGGTAATAATCATGGTTGTAACCCACAAAAGCCATGGTTATAAGAATCCTAAAGGGGGTTATAACCAGGCTTACTAACCACTTATTAAGTACACTGCCCGTTTAAGTACTTTCAAACTCACTTCCGTGCCCAACAACTGCTCGCCCCAAAGTGACTAATGCCCATGAACTCAGGAAGTCAGCAACAGAAAGAGAAACAGCAACACACACACAAAGAGACAAAGAAAACAAAGAAAACAAAGCAAACAAAGCAAACAAAACAAGCCAGAAAAAGAGACAAACACAAGGGCAGGCCGAAGTTGCTTTGGATGGGAAATAAAACTCCATCCAAACACTGCTTGGTGCTAGTTGGTTTGAACATGTACAAGTAATTGTTTTAAAACAATTACCGTAACAAACTTTTGTTATGTTCATTTGAAAGGGTCCGGAAAATAACAGGTGAAATCTGGTTCCAAACCGCTGGTCGATCCATTCAAAGCCTCCCCCCAAGGAGGATACCAGAGGCCGCCAAAACCGCATGCCCCCCCGCCCAAACTTGTCGGCTTGCGCAGTTTCAAATGGACCTCGGCTCAGTGGCTTCAAAACCTGACGGCTTTTGGTACTACCTAATAATCTAATGATTTACAAAAGCTTCAACATAGTCCTAGGTCGTTGAACCTCTGCCAAAAACGCCTCGTTGGTTTGGGCTGTCGGTTTGGAACAAATCATTTGGATCCGGAGTTGCCTCGCCCTCGAAGTCACCTCGGTTTGGCTGTTGGTTTGGAACATGCGGGATCCGACAATTGCCGGAGTTGCCTCGCCTGACTCGGCGGACTCGGCGCCGCGGCACTTCACAAACTGCGCGAAGACCCGGGGGAAAAGGCCGGCCGCTTCCTGCCGAAAGTGTTTTGAAAGGCTGAAGAGCCAACCCTATGTTCAAACACATCTTGCAGGAGAGACGCCTTTTTTTTTTGTTTCTCCGAAAAGCCATGGTGAACATATATGTGATTTTGAATGGATGTGTATTGCTTGAAATAGGCACCCGTCCCCAACGGTGGCTTTCCCTTTGTCTCCCACCCTGATTTCCCTCAGACTGCCCCTAACTCCCCCAACACCCCAACAAAAAAATATCGGCCCTGCTTTGCCGTTTTTGCCGATTGAAAGTGCCGCGCGATTTGCCTTTGCCTTGGCCCCTCCTAGGTCCTCCAGTAGAGAGGTTGGAATAACTAGGTGCCCCTTTTTCCGTCATTAGTCGATTTTAGCAGAGGGAACCCTCCCAACCAAAAAAGAAACGGTAAAAAAGGGCCCCTAGCTGGGGGACCTAGGCACTCAAACCTCTTTTGGTTCCCCCGATTCCACGAAACCGAAGTCCCAAGTCGGCACGCTTCTCGCTCCGAGGTCGGGCACGCTGAAAAACCAAACCGCCCTCCGCCCCCGCCTCTCCCAGGATCTGCTGGGACAACTCCTTCACGCGCCGCCGCGCCGAGGCGTTCTCCGGGACCAGCCAGTCCTCACGGATCGCCATGGACCTGAGCCGAGAAGAGCCCGGCGGAGGAAAAAATAGGAAACCCGGTGGAGAACCGTAGAACCAGTTTTCACCATTCCAATTGTTGGCTCTTCCACAAACCAGTTCTAGTTTTAAACATAGAGCCAGGGGGTGAAACCTTACCACTTCCAGAATCAGCGACCTGCCAACGTTGTTGCTTCCTTTGGCGCCCAAGTCCATTTTAACGCGCACAGTTGGAGAGCCATACCAGTTTTCACCCTACCACTGCCAGTTTTTGCTCCATAAACTCGAGTTTTAACCAGTTGGAGAACCATACCAGTGTTCAACATACTTCCAGTTCTTTCGCGTTACTTCCATAAACCCCCCGAGAGTTTTTCTTCTCACCATACCACTTCCAGTTCTTTCGCGTTACTTTCCATAAAACCCCCCTCGAGTTTTCAGCATTAACCTATCCCCACTGAACCTCACTTAGCCCCTCCCTCCCCCAGTCTGGTTTTCGCCCGTTTGGATGCCAAAAATAGGGCAAGGGGCGTCCTTTGAATGTTCCCTGTAACACCACTCTTGAAATTGGTGGGTCCTAAAAGGGGTCCCCTCAAAAAGAAGATGACAGTGCCATTTCTATCACCTACTTCAAAGGGTATGTGTCGATTTAAACACACGATTTGGACCCTTCAAATGGGTGAGTGCTTGGGTTGGTTTCCCTTGAAATCAGTGTGAAAAAGGTTTTTGGGCATCAAGAATCAGAATCCTTGAATGAGTATTTCTCCAATTGTGGATCCCTGTTTGGTTGGTTTTTAAAGGGAAACCAGGAGCAAACCCTTGCCATGTAAGGGGCACCCTATTGTGAGAACCCCCTCCGAAATCATCATTATGAGAATCCTTCAGGACCTTCACCAATGATCTTCCTACTATAAAGACCTCCTATTGATTAGAACGAGGGTTGCGGGGATTGTGATTTCAAGTCAAGCCATGATTGCGTTTGCGGGATGCTTTTGTACATGCTCCCACCTGCAGTCTCCATGAGACGTTGAACATGGGTTGCGACGCAGTCATGTGGGGGCAATGACCCCATTGTCTCATGGCCATGGAGACTGGTCAGTAAACAGGTCGCCCACACTGGTCCAGACAGATTCACTCTTTTCGGGGAGACATTATGGGGAACCAACCAGGTGTGACAATCACCAGGGCTTGCCTTCCCAGCCAAGCAAATCTAGTTGGACACTGTTCGGGTTTTTACATATCATGGATGGACAAATGTCTGCAGCAGACGGTATTCATGGGGTTTCATGTATCCGAACAGGATTTTGTCAACCAGCAGATGTCCCTTACTTTCCATTTCGGCAAAACCCGGACTCCCAAATTCAAGGAGCCGCCCATCAAAGCTGTAAGTGTGTGTTTTGAGGGGACCGTTGGAAGGGTGTAAAGGGAACGGCGTTTATAGGAGCAACATGATATTGAGGCTCCAAATCCCTAGATTTTGGACGCATACGATTAAATGTTTTCGACGAGGAAAGCCAGACAAAAGTTCTGCGCCCAAAGGTGGCTTGGTCATCCTGGAGAATCGGCTTGGAACTTTGAACCACGCAATCTGTCCTGGCTCGAAGACCAGGGGTGCGCCTCTTTTTTTGGGCGGTGGCCCCTTTGCGCCTCAAGGCACTAGGTCCTCCAGCTAGAAAGGTTAGACTACGGGTACCCTTTCTTTTTCCTGTCATCTATGGTCGGCGAACCCTCCCCCCAAAAAGGAAACGGGAGAAACGGGCACCAATTGCTGGGGGAAGGGCAGCAGGAAAATGAAGATTCCCCCCCCCGAGCTTGGTCCAAGAGGCCACTCGGTGTTGTGCTGCAAAGGGCATCTGGCGCCCCTGTTGCAATGCCCAGCCATGAAGTAACCTCGGCTTTCTGCTCCCCCGATAAAATTTTTTTTTTTTTTTTTTTTTTTTTTTTTTTTTTTAAATAAGTTTTTAGTGGTGTAAGGGACACCCATGAGTTGGCAAACAGCTTTTCAATCCTAACATCCAAGCAAAATGCACCAAAGTAACCGCAGGGCCCACGGTCGTCATAGACGGGCGGTCCTTGATCTTCAGCTCTGCGACCCTTGCCCTTGCCCTTGCCCTTGCCGTTCCTGAGGGCGAAATTTCGGACGGCCAGGGGTGAACATGTTTGAACAATTGCAAGGGGCCAGGTCTGATTATTTGGTCAGAAAAAGTAGCCAAACTTTGTATTTGACACTCAAATGATCCTGACCTTCCAAGAAGTGAAAAGAGCCCATTAGCCGGGAAGTGAAGCAACCCCAACTGCCTACCCATGGAAAACCAAAAACACCAGGACATTCAAAAGATATTTTGGCTTTGTCCCCCACAACCCCGTCATGACTCTGGTAGTCCCAAAGACTTTGGGCCCATGAGCACTGAATCAAATGGCCATGGGTCAAAAACCCGTACCCCCAGTGAATATCCCACTCCCCACTAAAATAAACCAAAATGGGTGGTGCACCTACCCCAAAATGGGATCCCATTGGTTTTGACCCACAGCCAAATGTCATTTCAGCTTCCCGCGAGTTAGTGAGGATCGGCGGTCCCACTCGGCCTCAAGAAGCAGGGGTTCAAATCCCCAAGCCAATCCAAACCACCAATGAAAGGTTGCCTGAATGGTATGCCTACCCTGCCAACCTGGGGTCTGAGCAGGTTCCCATGGTTGGCCGAGATCGGGGGTACACCAAAAAATGCTGATCCAGTTTCACATCTTCAGCCCAGAAGTGGGTCATCTCACCGTGACAAGGAGCGATCCCTACCCCAGTTACCAGGATGATCTCCAGTTCGTTTCTGCTTGCACTTGCCCTGCGAAAGGAGACCCCTATTCTGAGAAACCCCCGTGGGGCGCAGGTATCTGGAGAGCAACATGTGCGCGTTGTTTTTGTTTGTTGCCTTTCCTGGGGGTGGTTCTAAAGGAATCCAAATGGAAACCATCATTTCGGAAATCCGAAACCGAGGGTGGATAGGCCAAACCGGGCTCAAATATCAGCAAAAGGCCACCCAAGCTTCGACTGATGACCCAGAAGTGGTTCTACCTGGGTAAGCTGTGTATAAGCCCAACTGAAACTCATGCAGAACCATAAGCGTCACAAGAAGCTTCCATGTTGGTGGGTAGTAGAAGGGGCAAATCCTTCCTCGTTTACCCCATTCACCACGACGCAATGAACCCCGTCTCCCCACTCTGATGATTTGGGCCTACCAAAAAAACTCAGCCCGGCCCACATCCTTGTTGGGTGAGTGGCTCGTCTTTCGTGAATCACCCTTTACCAAAACCCGACAAGAAAGATGCGCTTAGAGACCATGGTTCCTTCCGTCCTCGAGCAACCTCCTCGACTCGAAGCCTTGAATGTGATAGAGAACATAATATAATATGGGTCTCGCGACCTTTTTCAAGGATGCGGACCCCCCAAAAATTGCACGCTTGTCCTTTCCCCTTAAACACGCAACACAAATGGCAACCCTCCCACGAATTAAGATGGAACCTGACGTTTGGGGAGTGCTTCAAAAACAACTTGCCTTTAGGAGGGAGGGCGAAACCCACAAAATACATGGCGACCGCCCTTGCTTAAGACCACAGCTGTGGGAAATGGAATCCACTTTTATGATACAACAAAAAGGGCCGAACCCGAAAGACCAACCTCCCATAAATGTGAGACTCCAACTTGTATCACGGAAGCGCGGATGCAGGGGCCATGACAAAAAGCAAAGTAGGTGAAGCAAGGCCACGCGGGGGCCATGGAATGAATGCCACGTAGGCACCACGACAGGAGTGAAGCAAGGCCACTCGGGGGCCACGGACGCAGGAACCATTACAGGAAGCAAGATAGGTGAGGCAAGCCATGCGGGGGCCACGGAAGGCCATGACAGGACAAGTTAGGTGAAGCAAGGCCACGCGGGGCAGGGGCCATGACAGGAAGCAAAGTAGGTGAAGCAAGGCCGCAGAAGGCTGAGAATGAGGCGCCCTGACGTCTGGGAGGGCAGGGGAGCGGGTGCTCGTCGGGAAGAATTTCCTTAGTGCCGCCCCGGGGGTCCTCGCGTCCTCGCCTCCCTGAAGAAGAACGCCAACCCAGTGAAGCAACGTCAGGCCCCGAGGGGTATGTATGTCCATGTAATGCAATGTATAATGTATGCTATTTTCTGGGATGCATTGTTAAAGAGTATATGTGTGTATGTATGTATGTGTGTATGTGTATGTATAACTAATTAAGTAATCTGATGTATGTGATTTATGTTGATGTATGTATGTATGTAATATATGTATGTGTGTGATGTATATACGTATGTTATGTTATGTTTGTATGCTATGTATGTATGTAGGAAGGTATGTATGTGTATATAATGTATGTAGGTATATAGTTGTATAATGTTAAATATAATACATATGTATATATATGTTGCATGTTGTACGTATGTATGTACGCATGTATGTACATATGTAATGTAATGTTATATGTATATATATATATATATTTATATATATGTGATATTTTCAATATATGTGGATTTTAACATGTTTAGATATTTCGACGATAACATGTTTATTTAGATGTGAGAAGATATGAGTTTAATAGTAGAATGCTTTGGACGAAATTGTATTTTCGTTTGCGCTTATATAGACCACGGATGTGTTCTTATTTTCCTTAGGCGATCGCCTTTTACTGAATTTTGATGACTTTATCGACGAATCCGGCCCTTAGTGCATCTCGCAACCTATGTTTGGAGAACGGGGTGCTTTTCGCATGCAAAGAGAGTCTGCCTAAGCCGCAGAACGCCCCGAAGAAAAAAGAAAAGACACAAAGGACGAGGCTCCAGGGCACCCTGCGCCGCACCCGCGCCTTGCCCGGAAGGACCTCCACCTCCAGCAGCTGCGAGCCGCCCAGCGCGGTCACCAGCTTCGCCGTGTCCACCCCGCCCGTCCTCGGCGAAAGGGGCACCAGGCGGGGGCCGAAAAGTGGCCGCCTTGGGTCGACTTCTTAGCCCCTGCTTGCCCTTGCCAGGGTTTTACCCGTGCAAGTAACCAAAGCAACCCACTGCCAGAATCCCTGAGTGCTACCCTTTTCGCTGGACGAGACGCCCGTTTGCCCCTCAAAGACGAGACGCGCTTTTAGGTGAGCTGTATTTTGGAAGCGCACCTCATTTGGCCGGGCGCAAAAGAGATCGCTGCGTCTCTGGGTCGCTAGCCCGAACGAGCAAAATATTGTTGGGCCTTCTGTAGGAGTGGCAAAAGCCACTTGACCCAGAAGGCCAAAGCCAAGTTTTGACGGGATGGTCATTCTTCCAAGGGGCCCCTTACGTCTGGCTTTTGGTTGGCTTCCCTAATATCTCTGATGATTGCAACCACAAGGGGGTCCATGTGGATGATCTTTCATATTCTCAGCGTGAATCTGAACGCCATTTTCATTTGTGTGCTTTTGGTTGTGGTGGTAGAAAATCAGATGGCCCTGGTTGACCTGGTTGCTTCATAATGCACCAGGGAAATCCATCGATTTTCAACCAACAGGACGTCTATGGCTATTTTGGGACCCATGGTCTTGGGTCATTTTGTTTGTAGCCCTTGCCGTTGGTGGTCCATACTTGTAGGTGCAACCGGTCAGTTGGAAACGACCTGCATTGAACCCTTACCTTTGCCAAGTCAACCCTCTGGTTCCGCCACTCCGCAAACGGAACATCCATGAATCGAACTGATAGAGCCTGGCAAACCACCAAGCTGAAACTGGAATTCTTGCATGAGCATGCACCTCCACAGGATTGGGACAAACCAGTTTGCTTCTGTGACCTCCTCCGGCCTCCATCCCCCGAATCTCATTTCTCTGGCCTAAGCGGTGATCACCTGTGGGAACTGAAGGACTAGGTCGTCCAGTGAGGTTCGAATAAGTTGGTACCCGATTTTGTCTTCTGTAGTCTATTTTAGTAGGGGAACCCTTCCCCCTCCAAAAAAAAGTGCACCTAGCTGGGGGACTTAGAAGGACTATGGATCCATAAAGGTCAGAACAGGTCGATTCGCTTCGAAATGAGATGTCGATGGCTTTTAACCAGCTTAAGCTCCATGCCACTGTGATCTTCCCTGGCAACAGTCCAGAAGCAGGAGCAAGATTTACGGCTCAAGGACAAACGCTTTGCCTGCTCTTGGAGTTCTAGGGGTTGATTCCTTGTCCATTCTTTTCAACCATGGTTCTTTCCAAAAACCGGCCGTTTCCCCTGGGTCTCCGGGGTTTTTCTAGAAAGATTCGGATCGCTGGAAAGAATGGAAATGGAAGGTGTTTCAAGGTAGGCTCTTCGCCAAAGACACACGTGCCCGACACGGCGCGGAGGCCAACAGTGCCAACGAACAAGAGGAGGTATATCCCATCTTTTGATTCCGCGATTGTTTCTGCCCCTAAACTACGGGGAAAGCAGAGAACACGGCATGTATATATATATATATACATATTAATATATGTATGGGCGTGTCTTTTTTTCAAGGTACTCCTTTTTGGGTGGAAAACTGAACAGATTAGCACCATTGTGGGGGGTCCGAATCCCAAAAAATGGACACACACCCATTTCCCAAAGGCCCTGTGGCTTTGATCGAACATGCAACGCACAAACTCGGCCCATTCGGCCACCAAAGTCACCCCGAAGCGGTCTAAAGGGAAAGCCCAGTATCTAAGTTTGGTACCCGGAAACAGTCAAAAACATGGCCCCAGAGATGGGGAATTGCCTGGCAACCTCTCATGAAGATGGCCCGACCCAAGTTCACCTAACCATAGTCCTAGCGCATACGGCTATGAACATTTCCCACAACCCACCTCAGGGTTTCCAAGAAGAGGCCCTTGTGGAATGCTTTGTTTAAGGACCTCGGAGGGAAGTCCAGCGGATGCTCGGAGTGGCTCAAAAGAAGTTGAAGGGGGACACAGGAACAAAGTGTCATTTCCGCAAAAACCTGGTTGGGCCTAGTAGTCATATACTTGGTTATGTTTTTTTTTTTTTTTTTTTCTCTCTCATGTTCTGTCTTTTTATTGCATTCTTTCTTTCTTTCTTTTCTTTCTTTCTTTCTTTTCTTTCTTTCTTTTCTTTCTTTTCTTTCTTTTCTTTCTTTCTTTCTTTCTTTTCTTTCTTTCTTTTCTTTCTTTCTTTCTTTCTTTCTTTTTCGGTTCGCGAAAACAAAACACACCACAAAACAAAAACAACTGTTGCCAAGTCGGGTTCAGGTGCTTCATCTTGTTGCAGGCCAGCAAATGGCAGACATCGATCCAGCCGTCGGGCCCAGCCTCCGCCAAGCGCTTCTGGAAGAAGTCGTCCTTCTGAAGGTTCCTGTCCGACAAGTAGTACCTGAGTTGCCATCGAAAGCTTTGAGGAAAGAAACAAACAGGCGAACGAACGAAGAAACGACCAGCAAGCACGCAAGCAAACAAGCAAACAAGCAAGCTACAACACAGCAATCAAGCAAACAAAGCAGCACACAAGCAAACAAAGCAAGCAAGCAAGCAAGCAATCAAGCAAGGAAGCAAGGAAGCAAGCAAGCAACCAAACTGACAGATGGGACAGACGCAATGACAAGCAGTTTGACACAAACAAATGGACTGACAGAGGAACTGAGACTGGCTCACAGAGACAGGCTAAGAAGCTGAGAAATTAAGAAGCTTAGACAAACGGACAAAGATGCTCACAAAGACAGAAACAAACAACCAAGGGCGAAAACTGAACACAAATTGGTTGATTGGTTGGTTGGTATATTGATTGCATCGTTGATTTGAATTGATTTGAATTGACTTGATTTGACTTGATTTGATTTGGTTTGCTTTGATTGGTTGATTAATTGATTGATTGCTTGCTTGCTTGCTTGATTGATAGAATTGATTTGACTTGATTGCAGTTGATTTAATTTGATTGATGGGTCGGTCGGTTGAATGAATGAATGTATGAATGAGTGAATGAATGAATGAATGAATGAATGAACAAACAAATGAATGAATGAATGAATGAATGAATGAATGAATGAATGAATGGGGATGCATGAATGAAGGAAGGACGGAAGGAAGGAAGGAAGGAAGGAATGAATGAATGAATGAACAAACAAATGAATGAATGAATGAATTAATGAAGGAAAGACGGAAGGAAGGAAGGAATGAATTAATGAATGAATGAAGGAAGGAAGGAAGTAATGAATGAATGAATGAATGAATGAATGAACGAACGAATGAATGAATGAATGAAGGCAGGAAGGAAGGAAGGAAGGAATGAATGAATGAATGAACAAACAAATGAATGAATGAATGAATGAAGGAAGGACGGAAGGAAGGAATGAATGAATGAATGAAGGAAAAAAGGAATTAAGGAATTAAGGAATTAATGAATTAATGAATGAATGAATGAATGAATGAATGAATGAATGAATGAATGAATGAATGAATGAATGAATTAATGAATGAAGGCAGGAGGGAAGGAAGGAAGGAATTAATGAATGCATGAATGAATGAATGAGTGAATCAAAGGAAATCAAATCAACTGAAATGAAATGAAATCACATCAAAACAATTGAACTCAATCAAATCAATGAATCAATTCAAGCAAACAACCAACTAAACACGCAGCCACACAAGCTAAGTAGCGGGCACACGAGCAAGCACGCAAGTGAGCAAGTCAGCAAGCGAGCACACATACCAAACAAACAAACGACCAACCCTGCAAGCAAGCAACAAGCTCAGCGGTACGTTTGCTGCTCTTCGTTGGTCTTGTTTCGAACCTGGCACTGACTGCGGGATCCTCCAACAAACTTCAATAGCAAAACAACACCCCAAAACTACCAACAACACCAACCAAAACCACCCCCACCCCCAAACACAGCACACCGATCCCAACCCCAAGCCCAAATTCAGTCTTGCCCAAACCGTTTGGACTCCGGGGCGCTCCACGGTGCTGCGGATGTCTGCAGGATCCATGGCGAGTTCCGGGGGCTTGCCGCGCTCTTTCCCCGCGCGCGCTGCAAAATGCGATGGCAAATTTCGGATGGCGGGTGGCTTTCAGCCGGCTTGAAGGGAGCACCGGGGGGCAAAGTTGGTTGGGAGAGGGCGGGTTGTAACCAAGACAAAGACGCAGCTTTGTTACCACAAGCTTCTGTGTTGCCACGTAACGTGTTTCTTATGTTATAACCCTCTCTAGTGGTTGGGAAGGGTCTTATGGGTAAGAGCGTTATGACTCTCTGACTCTCTTCTGATCTCTCTTCAACCCGGATTCCCCGAGATTCAAGTTTATGGTGCATGGTTGCAGAGTGCAAAAACAATCATTTAAGATGCAACCAAACGTTGATTCTGTGTGAGAAATCCCCCCCTCCCAAAACAAATAACCTGCGTCGCCGGTTTGGCCACAAATCTTTGGGCAAGGTCGCTATAGTTCGCCCATCTATCGTTTACCCAGATACAAACAAATACAAGACGTGTGGGAAAGTACCACAACTCACACTCTGGAAACAAGAGAAGCTGGTTGACGCTTGTGCAAATAACTCACGACCGGATCCTTTGCACACACCAACGACAGAACATCGAGCTGCCTCTGCTCGGTTTGGCTCAAAGATCGATCCTCGCAACTGGACATCAGTGGTATGTTTTGCAGTTTACACAAGGGAAACTCTGAGAAATGTAGACAAACGGGATCCTATCTAAACAAAGCAGGATGCCAATGGTTAAGCAATCTTCATTCACGGATCACCACCACTGTCTGCAGGTGAGCGGAAAACTCGTTTGGTTGGTTTCTTACCACAGAACAGGAGCAAGACACTAAACAACGTATGCATGAAACCAAGCACAGGGGGATGCTCCGTTCCTCAAGAAAATATGTTTGCTTTTCTTTAATTCAACAAGTTAAAAATTGCGGTCGAGACACGGGTTTGAGGTTGGAATAACAGGCTTCCTTGACTGAAACATGTGATGGGGGAGGGGGAATGCGATTCTTTCCGGGGGAGAGTGTCAAAACAAGCTGAAACGGTATGACAGATCTTGACCAACTGCAAAGGAAGGGCAAGTTTGCCCTAGTGAATACAGAGCTCCCTATATTTCCCGTTTAAACATCACCCCACCAAATGGACACTCACTTCAAACTAGCAACACTAAGTATGTCGTGTCCTTTTTGTTTTCGAAGCTCCCCCTTTTCTGGTGGCTTTAAAGGGAAACCACCGGTGCTTTGACCTTTTTGCGCCACTCGGGGTGGGGACTTGGACCGGGCCCCCACCGACCCGCCGCCGAACCGCACCGCCGGCTCCCCGAGCCGCGCCTCCTTCCGCTTCTGCAGCTCGCCCTCGGGGCACTGCACGAAGCGCGTCTGCGGGCCCATGGCGTCGTAGTCCCGCGACCTGCGATCTGCCGATCGAGTGGAGTGGGGGGGCCATGGACCGTGGAGGGATGGGGTTGGAGGCAACCCCAAGGTAGACGTAAACCCGGGGGGTTTGGCCTTTAGGGAAATCAACCCCTGGGTTTAAGTCTACCTTGGGGGTAGTCAAAAGGTAGAAAGATGGGATGGGGTTGGAGGCGGATGAAGGGCTGGCGGTATGGAGTTAGAGGCGGGAGAGGTGAGATTGGGTTGGGATGCTTGGTGGCTTGACGCGGAACCTCCCAGAAAACACGCACTTGATCTTTCATTTGCTTAAGCCCCTTGGAAAAAGCACAAACACATATGTCCAGTAGTGATAGATTCCCTGTAAAACGAGCAGGGGAAACTGAAACACATTCATTTCCGCAAATGGATTTTCTGGTGCCAAGCTAGAGACTTGGTGCGACCTTGAGGATCCCAAAAGGCGCCTCGCAAAGGATCTGCCCAACAGCGAGATCTTGCCCGAGGACTTGTCGATGGTGATGATGTCGCCAGCCTGGCGACCGAAAAAAAACATATCCGCTTCGACTGCTGTGGGTTTTCGGGAACGGAGGAGTCAACCCTCTGATTGATGGAGGCTGTCCCTTAGGAATTCGGTTCATCACTTTTGGAGAGAACACTCCCCAAGAACGTGCTTTTTAATCCAGGGCCAACGTCACATCTTGGATATCCTCTTGATACAGGTGTGTCTCTCCAAGAAGCTCCCGGGATTGGCAAGCAACATTTTGTTTTTGGGCCTTGCCTTCAACAAACAAAACCAATAAAACGCCGGGACCTGGAGCCGGCTCAAAGGAAAACACCACATTTCCTCGTACTTCCGGAGTTGATTCGCACAAGTCCTAAGTCATTGTTTCATTCGACTGATCAAAAAGGCCAAATCTCTGGTAACTTGGATGTTGAACCAGTGGGACCATTGTTGGTATTAGCAGATTAACTCCAGATATATCCTAGTAGCAATGGATACCATCTACTTTGTTAGTACGTCTTTTGCTCCCACGTCTCGCTCGGTTTCACAAGCACCAAAGCCACACCCGATGTCTTGAAGGATCTCCCCGGCAAATGAGTCGTCGAGGGATTGGCGACCAGGACGAAATCCATTTCGCACCACCCAAGAAACCTTGGAATGATGATTTCCCTGAAACTACCAACAAACAATGATTGCCATGGTTTCAAAGTGGTGCTGGGTTTCGCCCATCCACAGAAGCGGTGTCCTCTCGGTTTCCGTTTAGAGGTGAAAGCAAGGACGACAACAAGCACCAGGGTAGGGCCCACCAACTCTTGAAACATGTTAACCCCTCTATGTTGGCATTCCTTATCGGGTACCAGGGGCTGGTTTGTTTAAACACCTGCTGCACTCCAACTACCGGATTGTCTTCAAGTAAACCTAAGAACTAGCTCAAGGACTTCCCTCATGGCCGCGTCAATATTCAACCCCAGACCCAGGATTCAAAAATGTGTTCTTTGTGATTTCAGTCCAGGGCCCAGCTGTGTCCGCCCCAAACATTGACCCAAACTTTTTCCTTCGGTTTTTGCCCAGGAAAGGTGGGGCACCGCTCGTCAAAAAAACATCCGGCGTTCAGTACTGGGTCCTGGATCTGCTCCTTCTGGATGGTCTCGATCATCTTCTGCCTTGAAAAAACGTGGACGTGGAACCGGTTCGACGTCTTTCTAGGGGTTGATTCCTTTTCCATTCTTTTAAGCCATCGTTCTTTTCAAAAACCAGCCATTTTCCTGGGATTCTTGGTGGTTTTCTAGAAAGAAGGATCCCTGGAAAGAGTGGAAATGAAAGTTACCCCTAGAGTCTTGGGGTCCTGGAAGACGGGCTTTTCTTTCAAAAAGGACCCTCTGGTGATGGCAACGTCAGGGTAACTCGATTGAGAATCCCTGAGCTCTGCCGTCAAACTGGCTTGAATGACATGGGACCCTTGGTTTTTGCGGGTTTTCGGGGTGAGTCGCTCATGCCCCTCCCAAATGGACCAAGACCACCGGACAAGAGCCCACCTCGCTTGGTTCACATTCAACCAAAACATGTACCATTTACCCTATATAAGTGAGTCACAATCAAATGCGAGGGTATACGAGGGTTGAGAAATATCGCCTGCAACATAGCCTCTGAGACTCTAAGTGTCCATTCGAAGCTACGCTTGAAGGGGATGCAGCCCCATTTTGGGGGTAGCCACTAAATCATGATATATGTCCCACTACAAGGGGCAAGTTGCCCATGGGCCAGGGAAGCAACCGTCAAACAAATAATAAATAGCCCAAACACAAAAAGACTGCATGGCCCTAGCCCAACCACCCTTCTGCAAAATCGATGCAAGACGTGTCTACCATATCTGGCACTGGTGAAGCTTCTGAGAAGCCTGGGACCGAACGGCGCAGGACCTAGGACCACGAGAAAGTGAATCCAAAGCCAGCGAGATGTCCGCCGATTCATCCGACCGAACCGAAGCTCAAGCTGAAAAAAAACACGGCGAGCGGGGCAGCCAGACATCTTCGTACCTGCTTTTAGAGGGACTCTGGGACCTCCTCCAAAAAAAGTCGAAAAAATGCCGCACAGCTCTGCGTTTCGGTGACCTAAATCCAACCGAAACTCCGATTTCCCCGCGGTGATTTCTCCCAATCCCTCTCCAACAAAATTGACCAACAGTGGGGAAGACTTTGCCCCCACCCGCCCAGACAATCTCCAACACAAACTGATCAAAAGTGGAAAGAAAGTGCCCCCCCCCCCCACCCCGAAACAAACCCGTTGGCTTCCCGGCCCCAGGTCGTACATCGTCTCCATCTCGGTGGTCTTCAAGGTCATCTTCCCTCAGCTTCTCCATCCGCCGACAGGGCCGTGGGGAATGGAATCAACTTCTGTGATACAACGGAAAGGGCTTCCCGAAGACTATTTTGTTCATAGAGAGGGGGATTCCAACTTGTATCACAGAAGTGGTTGGAGAAACCAATTCCTTGATCCCACAACCCTGTCCGAAAAAGAAGAGGTGTTTCAACGAAAAGGAATCCACGCCTGGGCTATAAGCCAAACGCCAGATGTAACCCCCGAAACTTCCGATTCAATCCAACCACTTTTCATAATGGGTGAATTCACCTACCCCAAAATGGGATCCCAAAACGGTTTTGACAACCACAGCCACAGCTGGCTGTGGGTCAAACAATAGGTACCCAAAATGGAACCTTAGTAAATGGATGGACTAAAACCTGCAGTCCCCTAGTGGTTTAATTTTGACCCACACCCATCTCACTTCGTAGGTGGACTGGGGGAAAAGGTCCTTAATTTGTTTGTTTTACATTTCACCACTATAATCCTTTTGTTTGAAAACTAAACTTCCAGAGATTGGAGAACTAAGTCCTCGCTTCAACCTTGTGTTTACCACTAGGCTTCCTGAGCTTGGGGAAACAAGTTCTTAAACTGTGTGTTTGCCACTAAAATGGTCTTCCCTAAAAGTTCAAAGTCCATGAACTCAGGGAGTGAGACATGCATCACAGGATGTCATTCTCTGGAGTTTAAAGATCTTTACGGTTAAGTCGTGAAGTGCTGCGTTCCCATGAGTACCTGCTATTTGGGTGGTGGTAACCTATTAAGCACCTCTTGTTCCATCATGTGTCTTGTTTGCTTGGTGACTTTTGGGGTTGTGAAACGGGAAGAACCGAACAATCCTAAAGTTCCTCAGATCCCCTGCTTGAAGTACTCAACTTGTGGGAAGCCCAACCACCAAACCAACTAAAAACAACTCAACACCTATGGCAGGGACTGTCCGGCCAAACCTACCTACCCAGATTTAGATTCTTTGGCCTTCCCTTTTCTTGCTGGTTCGACAGGCAGGGAGTGAGTTGGAATGTTTTGGGGGTGTCCTTGAATACTGCGAAAGGGTTTGAAACAGAGTTTCGGGATGGATAAAACAGGCCCTAACCCACCAACAAGAAGAGACCACCTTATCCCCCCGGTCCCAAGGGCAAAGCAGTTGCCCCCGGCCGGCACTAACACGAACCAAAAGGGGTGCCTCGTTGTAACAAGAAGGAACCAAGCAGAAGCGCAGCACAGCGCAAAGCAGGCAAGCAAACCAGCAGCAAGCAGCACCAAGCGAGCAAAGCGAGCAATAGCAGCGCACCCCAAACAATAGCCCGACCCACCTCCAGGAGAAAGAACACCGCCCCAGACACGACGGCCGCGATGCCACGCGGCCGGCGTGCGGATGCGCCGCGGACTTTTCCCGACGAAATGGCGGACGATGTTTGCCGGATGTAAAAGCTTGAGCCAGATACCGCGTTGGGTAATGGCGTACTACAAACTGCTATGATAAAAGTACATGCCCCCAAAAACACCCCCCTCGCCTGTACAAAGAGAAGGAGTGAATTTGGAAGGGCGCATTGGCCATGTTGAAGTTGAAATGCAACAAACAAGACAAACAAAGCCGATTAGGCTACCAGGGTTCGCGACCCCATACCCGGGCTCGCATTGAAGCCCGGATCCCGCCACCACCCCGAATTACGGGTATGGGGCGGATTCTCGCCGGTAGCCAAATCAAACAAGAGAAAGCAACAAAGAAAAGAACAAAGGATCAACTTCTGAATGGCCGGCATGAAGCCAAAGAATTGTCATTTGCATTGCAACCACATTGAATCATTTGATTCAAGTGGATTTAATTTTTAATTATTAGATTAGGCGCATTGGCCAGTCGGTTGAAACATGGTGCATAGACCAATGAGCCTTGGTTATAAATTAGCACCGTCTAGGCGCGCGATCATTCGAGGACAATCGCCACGGACACCACCAGCAGCGATCCGCGGTCTAGGTCCGAGTAGGACATCACCGGCAGCGGTGCGGGGCATCCGTGATCCTCACCCCGGCACCTTGATGAGCACCATCACCAGCAGCAGCAGCGGTGCAGGAGGATGCAGATCACCAGCGGCCATAGACGCCGCCGAGAGTGACTGCCTTGCTGTGGCGACGCACACCTGACAGGTAATCGCAGCTTGCGCGAATAGCGCACAGCTACGCATGCAGTTGAATTCTGAAGTGACGAATAGCCCAGACAACGAAATACGACAAGGAGCATAGTCCATCTTGCAAATTCCGAAATGAAAACATGCGCGCGTTGGCGCAGCCATGCAAAACACATAGACAGACTTCGGGTATTACCGATGTCGTCCGCCACCGTGCCGTCCCTTCCCCTTGCTGGCATTCCAGTCCCCAGGGGGAGGAGGCACTGTCTCGGCCAACTCGTCACCGTCACCCCATGTAGGGGTATGCGGCGAGCTCGGATTCTCGAACTCGCGGGGATCACCCTGCATATGCGGCTGCCAACCCTGCGGCATTGCGCCAGGCCACATTTGTGGCATCATGCCAGCCATGGGCTGTTGCATGTATCCTCCCATTGGGAAAGTGGGATACATCGGACTCGGGAACGGGTAAGGGGCAGCCTGTGCACCCTTGTATCCCGACCCGCGAGCATCAGGCTGATACCCGCCAGTGGGAGTTCTCGATCTGGCGGATCCGCCACGACCGAACTGCCCTTGTTGGTAGCCGTATTGGCCACCCTTGCCTTTGTACTGATCACCCTTGTGACCCTTTCCTGGAAACTGGTCACCCTTGTGACCTCCACCCTTGGGCCAGGATTGCGCAGGGGCTTTGCCCTTTTGCTGATCCCCCTTTGACCTGGATTCAGGTCGCGGGGTAGCAGACCGATGATCTCCCCTAGGAGTGGCTGCCCGCCTATGGTGCTTCCCAGTCGGCGGGTCAGCAAAAACAATGGCGCATTGGCCGTCCCGCTGTGCAGCGGGGACCATGTCAACCTTGTTGTCTTCGACATAAATGTATGCCTCAGCATACTCAATCGGGGCCGTGATGGATCCACCACCGGCCCGCAGAGAGTCGATACTCAAATCAAGAACAGTGGAGGCATCAAAACTTGGGTCCTCACTATTGAAGTCCGCGAGGCGTCGCTCAGCCTGCACCAATGACATTATGATGTCCGCGCGTGAGGCGCCTAGGCCATACAGCGGAACCAAATAGCCGTCCTCAATTCCGATGCGGTAGGCATCATAAATATGCACAGAGAGGTAAAGGGCAAATGCTGAATTTAGACTGCCCTTTCTCGTCATATGACGACCCCATTGCGCCGCCTGTTGCGGGTGCTCGATCAAATATGTCATGACAGACATATTGTCGGGAATTGGGACGCCAGTATTGCTCTCCTCGATGAGCAGCTGTTTCGCTACCCACCGCTCGAGAGCCTCATCACTCGCACGCACACAAGCGTGAGTGTCCTTTGAGGTGACCTTTGCAACCTCCTGAAACGCAACTTGCACAATATCCGCATTGGGATTGTGCACAAGGTGCGGCGCACAGCGCAAACCGGAGATCATACAGCTGACCACCTCGCGGATCGGGTTTACCGACGCCATGAGAGGAGCCCACACGTCAGTCTCCCCTTCATACCAGCTGCTGGCACGGACTGCCTTGAGTCCGTCCAACCAGACTGGCTGCCCTCTCCTAACTTGGGAGCGGATGGTGCCTGGCACCCACTCTCGATAGAAAATCGGCAAATGGCAACCATTGCATAGAATGGTGCCATACATATTCAAATGCGCGCACCGAGGGCACCAGTAGTCATGCATGGGAGCTTTGTCCCATGAAAATGAAACCCCTCTCCGCGGTCCCTGGACATTCACCCCTCGAACCGCCCAGGGACGGATGTATATCACATCCCCTTCCTGGTGCAGATAGCATGCGCGCCAGAAGGGCGCATGTATCTCCTCTCGCACAGCAATCAAACCGCGTCGGGTTTTATAGATGCCGGCGGCTTCCTCGATGGCCATCCACTTCAGGTCAACGGCCACAACGACATGGCGCTTGTCCATGTATTTGACGCGGTCGTCAACATAAAATTCGCCCTCATTATTGGGGCTTGGCAACTTGAGGAGAGGCACCTTTGCGCCCTCCAACCCAATCGTGATCTCCCCCCTGCAGACCTGCTCAGGTCGCATGGGGAAAACTGTGATGGCGAATTTGCCGGGCCTCCGGATGCACCTCGTTTTGAGGGCGGACCGATACTCGGCCATCGTCAGCAGCACGTATCCCGTATAAGGGACCTCCGCTGCTCCCATCGGCCTAAGCAAAGGCCCCATAGGCGTTCGGTCACGCAGTGCCCAACGCTTAAAAACTTTGAACGGCACGTCCCTCCCGATTAGGGTGGAACGCGCAAAAAGCACCTCATTCGGGCGCACAGTCGTGCCATCTCCCCTCCAGACTGTCCGTATTAGGAGCTCGACTGGAGGGTACGCTGGGTTCTCCTTCGCAAGAGAACCCGCCCAGGTCGCCACCTCGACGCTCGTGCACTTATGGATCCCGTATAGGGCCTCAAAAAGCGTTGAGATTAGAGTCATTGACATCCAACCTCCCAGAATGTCTGGAACCGTCCCACACAAGAAGGGAGCCGGCTCACCGGGCTTCACGTTCAACCGCGTTGGGTCAGTGTTGCCCGACAAAATTTCTAGCAGCATTTGCGACTCCCTGGAGCTTCGCCCAATCATCGCCGACGCATCCTTAATTTCGGGGAAAAAATGGAAGATGTCGTTACCGGCAGGACAGGCGATTCTGCCTGCTGTCCCGCTCTGTGCATCAAACACAACCTCTTCACCCTCGTATGTGAGGTTGTAGGTGCTCGCAATCGGGCACACATCGGGCTTTGCCATCAGTGCCTCCTCTAGCGACGCACCAGCAGGGAGGACGCCCTGTACGTGCGCTTTGGTACCATACAGCCGATAATTTTCGGCACGAAAGTATGGAAAAAGGTTCTTCATCC